ATTATAATAGGTTTCCGATGAGTATCAAATTGGGATTGTGCCTTTTAAAACTGTAAGAAAAGGTCTTCAAATGGAAACAAAAACACTTTTGCAGTTTTTTTAAAGAAAAGCTCAAAGCCATTTTTTCATGCGCAATGCAACAAATACAAAACCTGGCCACATTGGGCTGGAGCCTGCAGCTTGCCAGCGAGCCAGGGGAAATGACGCTGTACTGCAAACCAGCAACACCAGGCAAATGGGCTGACAAACTCCCAAACTGTTGTTGCTGCTGCCCAGGTCTGTCGGGTTCTGGGGTGACTGAGGATCTCACCAAACCTGGGAATTAATGCTTTGAGTGCAAACCGGAATCTGGAGAGGGAAAAAAAACTGCAAATGCACGTTAGCCAAGATAATAATATTCCTTGCATTTGATATAGCACCTTATCATGTTATTCAGACGTCTCAAAGTGTTTCACAGAATAAACTGTAAAGTGAAATTGACTGTATATTTTGGGGGCGAAACGCGGTAGTCAATTCGCACAGCAGTGTCCCACAAACATTAATTTTATTTGAAGGGATGATCATTACAATTGTTTAGTACAAAATTATGGGCAGTTTTGTGCTGTGGAAGGGCCCAGTATTCTGTGCGGTGTTACAGCACCGGCACCTGCCACTTCTGTCATCATGCAGTGAGTGGCTAATCTAATCCCATATACCCCTTGCTGAGTGATAGAAACTCAATGGGTGAGACATGTAGGCTGGTCTCCCAGCACATCTACCAATAATTCTACTTCCAGCAGACGTCAATCTCACCATGTGCAAACTGCCCCAAAGAAAAGTGGAATGAACTAAATAATTCAAAAGTTTAGCAACATTTGTTGTTAAAAGCTGAATACTGAAAAAAAATCCAGGCTATTTTCCTGCAAATATGCAATTTTAATAAATATGAACTGACTAATGCAATATAAAAGGACGATTTAACCCTCTAAATTCTGGATTGCTTGAGTTGACCAAAGGGTTGACTAAAGAAAAAATCTCAGAGACTCATGGACGTGTTTACTTCAAGAAAGCCTGACGTGAAAGGCAAGGACAGTGAAAGCATGTTTACGGAACAAAATTTTCTTCAAAATCACTGTGGGACAAAGACTTGTTTTGAAATAAGCTGTTGGAATTTTGATAAAGTTTGTCCTTGGTTTGCAGCTGGTGTTTCTAACAACACATTAAACACATGTGAACAAAAAGGTATAAAGAATCAGAGAATTTTTGGGTTATATCGAAGAGAGAATGGAGCAGCTAATCACAACCAATATCGAGGAACGAGGGATATAGACTACAATCAACATGGATCGACTTGGTGGATAAGTGCATTAATTGGTATGGTTCCAAGCTGTACAGATCAGGAAAATGCCATGATGGGTTCCTGGTTTAGGCCAAGACAAATCACTTCAGTTGCCACAGTGGTGCAAGCACTGGATCATAGTTAACTCAAGATGAAGAGGGATGTGATGCAATTAATTAGAATGTCCTCTCCTAAAATCTGAAACCTGATAAACAAGTTAAGGCCATTCATTGTCTTAAAATTTATGATCTTGCAGAATTTTGAAAATTTCCTAAAATGAATCACAATTTGAAAAAATAATTCTGCAGCTCTTAAAACAAAGCTCTTTGCTGTGTGCAAAAAAATTGCCATAACTTGCCTACAATATATAGGCCTTGCGCCTGCCAGTAATTATTTTAAAAAATCTGGAGATGTTTCAAGGCGATAATGCGCTGTAAAAATGTAAGTTCTTTAAGTGTCCAGTTCTATCACTATGTTAATAAATGTATATTTTTGTTTAACAATTTCCATCTTACTTGCTTAGGGGATGTTACTATATAAGATTGCTGAATTGAAGGCTATTTCTATTAATAGTAAAGTCACATCACAGTAATGTCCTTAGTACTCACTTTTTGTTCATTTTAATGTTAAGGCACTGAATCCTCCTGGGCATGGATCAACAGTCAAAACCTGTCCTCCTATACTTCATTCATGAGCCTAGACAGTGAGTGTTAACCAGCTGTTCAACATCACAATGTCTGGATTTGAAACTCATATTGCCTAAGCTTACTCCAAAGCAGAAAGTGGAAGTGTGCCTACATTATTGGAGATGCTATCCCTTGGATGAGATTAAACCGAGGTCCCAAAAGATCCGATGCCTTTTTTTGAAAAGAGATGGAAGTTTCTCCCAGTATCCCAGCCAACAATCCCCCAAATCAATTGATCATTCATTCAGCGGCTGTTTGTAGGACACTGCTGTGTGCAAATTGGCTGCAGCATTCACCCACAAAATATACATAGTCGTATCACTTCATAGTATATTTTGTGAAGCTTTAAGTTTAGACGCCTCAATGACATGATAAGGTGCAATATCAAATGCAAGGATTATTACATTTTAAATAACTGAGCACAGATTGGGGTCCATTCTTGCTGGTCTGTATGACTCAGCAGTGACTTTACCCATCAGGAAGTTCATCTGTGAAATTTACATCATCATAATAATCCTTGCATATTATATAGCACCTTATCATATCTTCGAGACATCTCAAAGCGCTTTACAGGATACACTGAAAAGTGTAGTGACTGTGTGTTTTGTGGGGAAAAATTCAGCAGCCAATTGCACACAACAGTGATCTACAAACAGTCATGGGTTATCATTATCATTATTTTATCAAACAAAGTCTAAAATCTGCCAATTTAAGACAAAAGCTAGTAATATTTCATTTTAAAAATACAATTTGTAATACTATATGCAGTGTAGATTTCTGACCTTCATCGGGACACTTGGCAGAGACTGTTTTGAGAAAAACCACAAGAATGATTCTGTAACTTAATCATTCTAAGTTACCAATAGATTCATAGAGCTGTACTTTTTTATTGAAGAAAAGACTATTGAGAATAGGCATAATGCCTTTTAAAGTGCGAAGAGGCACAGATGACAGAGCTGGAAGTATAGTATTTAAAGAGACCATGAACAATGAATTAAAGGACAGGTTTAAAACTAGCAATTCTAGAAATTGACTTCAAATAAGTCCTGGTCAAATACCTGTTTGAGCACAGTATTTAATGTCTTTTCCTCTCTTCTAATTGGGTACAGTTTCATAGATAGTATTCCTCTGCTCCACACCCTTGTGGTTATTTTTTTTATTTGTTAACCTTATCACTGAGTGCTGGTAAGCTATTCAAAAGTGCAGGCATCACAGCTGAGTCTGATCCTGTCCTCACCTGATAGCCATACAAAAACACCTTCCAGCAAGAATGATCAAATAGCAGTCAGGAATGAGGCACCTGACTGATTTAACTGCTTTTCTTCTCCCTTAACTCGGTGATGTTGAGACCAATTGCTATGTTCCTACTTTCACCCCAGCTGCAATCATCTACCAGCTCAATGAAGCATCGTACTCAAAGCTGCAACCTTCTAGTCTGGAGGCCAAATGTCTTTTATTTTAAATAAATAATATTTCCATTTGATATAGGCCTTTCATTTCAGGAAACATCTCAAAGTGCTTCACAGGCTATACTGTAAAATGTCATGACTTGTGGAGTCCTGTAGCTCAGTGGTTAGAGCACTCGCTTTGCAAGCGAGAGACCTGAGTTCAATTCCAGGCAGAGGGCGAAACCTTGGGCAAGTTTCCTTACTCCACACAGAGCCTAATAATAATCCCTCCAAAACAAAACAATAATAAATTGGTCATTTTCAGTCCACGACTGTTTGTGGGACATTGCTGTGCGCAATTGGCTGCCGCATTCGCCCACAAATATACAGTCAATTCACTTTACAGTGTGTTCTGTGAAGCGCTTTGGGATGTCCTCCTGACATGAAAAGCGCTATATCAAATGCAAGGATTATTATTATTATGACTGTGTATTCTGTGGTAGACTACCGTGGCAGCCAATTCATACGTAATAATGTCCCACAGAAAGCCATGAAGTGAATGGCCAAATTTATTGAGGGATTTGTTGGTCAGGGCACCAGGAGTAATTATCTTCCCATTTCAAATTGTGCAATGGGATCTTTAATGTCCACCTGAACAGGCAGACGGGACCTCAGTTTAACGTCTCTTCCAAAAGACAGCACCTCCCACAATGAAGCAGACTCCCAGCAATACATTGGCCTATTCAACCTAGACTGTAAGTTCAAAGTCCCAACGTGGAACTTGAATTCACAACCTTCTGACTCGGGGGTGAGTGCTACCAAATGAGCCAGGTCGACACTATATCTATAAACCTAGAAAATGCTCCCTCCGTTCAGCGGGCTCCGGCCTGCTCCATGTCTCCCGCCCGACCTGCCCTACCATCGGCGGCCGAGCTTTCAGCCTCTCTGTCCCCACACTCTGGAACTCCATCCCACAGTCCCTTCATCTCGCTTCCTCCCTTGCCTCCTTCAAGGCCGGTCTCAAGACCCTTCTCTTCGATTGTTTCTTCGGTCACTCTCTCACCTCTCTGCCTTCCCTCACCCCTACCCCACCCCCGTGCTCGGGTCCTGACCCATGACTGTCCTCTCAACATGAAAGGCGCTCTATAAATGTAATTTTGTTGTTGTTTATCGAATTCAGTGGATAGGATAAGAGGAGATCATTTTCAAATGAGCAAAGTAAGAAACAACTTCTTCAGTCTTGTACATTTTTCAGGGCCTTGGGACATCCTCCTGACGTGTCAGGCATTATACAAATGTAATCTTGTTGTGGTGGTGGCCCAAATGGCTTCCTATTTCAGTGAGCTCAGAGACTAGATTCATTAAGAAAAGGTGACACCATTGCTTCTGGAGCCTGCAAGTACCAAGTTGAAAGCAGTGTTTTTTTACTGGTGCCTTTGGAGACAGTACTGTCTCCAATTGGCAATATAAATACGTCACCTTTCTTATCATCAATGGCCTGAGATGTTCAACGCACCCACAGAGACAGGTTGCTAACAGGTGCACACCTTTCCTGTTCATTAGGGGATGGCAGCCGACATCTTACATTTACATAGCGGTCTTTATCTGGGTGGCACCTCAGAACATTTTGAATGCCAATAATGCAGTCTCAAATCATGGCCTTAAAGAATTCTGCAACCTTTTTTTTGGTGTTCCAGCTTCCACAGAATCTGCCCTGTCGATTCTCAGCACCTTTATCCTCAGGATGTACTGCAAGACCAAGTCTACAAGTGGTTCGTAATGCAAGTGCTTCATAAGTATAAGGCTAAATGGCAACAAATAAGACTATGGTCTAAGTAAAATGGAGCCAAAGGATAAAAATGAATGAAGGCTGCCAATAGCACCAAATGGAATGCACTTAATGAGCCAAATTGCTTATTCTCATTCCATGAATTCTTTAGTTCTATGTACAAAGGACTTTGTAATGACTTTCAAACTGAAAGATTAATGATTGCAATGCAATTACTGGAGGCTTATGACAAAATAAGTGGTAAAAATAGCTGGTATACATTTCATTGCATAAATGTGACATGTTTATGGTGACAATTTAAATAAACAGGAAACAGCATTAAATAATACAAATCACAATTAAATCTCTTCTCTAAATAAATACGATTTACAGACACAGACATTATTATAACAGGATTTGACTGGTACACAAAGGATTGTACCTGAGTTAAAGATTTTATTTTCATATTGCATTAATTTATTTTAATATAAAAACTATCATAATGTATACAAAACTCTATCCCCCTTAGTTGGAGGTAATCTGGATATCCTTGTAACTTAATTGGCTCCAAGACCATCTTCTGTAGCAGTCTTGGTATTCTGGTTCTGGAGCCAAGTAAGTCTGCAGTCCTCCTTACACTTAAGAGTGGCAGACCAGTTACTGGGGGCAGGAATTTTTCCCACTGAGCTCCTGTTAATGCTCCTATTAAAGCCAAAGCCCTAATGGGAAAAATGGTCCCACTCAAAAGTTGCTGGAATTTTGCTAGGCCGTGCTTTGAATAGCAAGCGATGTGGTTTCAGCTGGTTAACCTCCAGCAGTATCCCACACAGACTTCATGTGTCAGACACCGGGCTGACCAAATAAAACACAGAGCTCATTAAGGACTTCAGTTAATTTTCTAGTGAAAATATCAAAAATAAGAACCACCTACATATTCTTATTTACATTGTTTGATGCTTCATCATTGGCACAACCTGCTTAGGAACTCTCATTATCTATATAGTGGATCAGACTAATGATTAAGTTCTTCAAAATATAGTGCAAAAAGAGAATTAACCTACTTATTCTAGGCTTCTCAAATGGCTCACTTGTTAAGGACACTGCTATGGCCTTTCATCCTTGGCTTCGTTTGATTGAAAATCCAATCCAGACAGAGAAAGTAAAACATGCACTGGTGGATTGTGTTATAACTAAATGTAATGCCTTTTGTGTTTGCATAACCCTTCCATTTCTTCTTAAGGATGTGAAGTGAGCTCCTCCTAAGGAAAAATGTCAAGCCCACAGAGAGAGTACAGACGCGATTCACTAGGATAATGCTAAAGAAGAGAAGGTTTGGTTATCAAGAAAAAAATGAGAATTTGGGGTAGTTTTGACTGAAACAACTCCTGTACTGTAAAATTCTTTGTTTGTATGACAATGGTTTCTGTCTGTTCTTAGTGAAAATAACCATTGTTTAATTCTGTTTTTTTTAGACTGTTTCTGTAAGTGGATGTGCACACTTCAGCAGTTTACACCCCTTCTTCCCACACACATTTCAAGGACAGTGGCAACCTTTATTCCTTCTATTGTATGAAATACTTCAGCTCAGCACACAGTCAAGTTGGATTTATGTACTTGCACAACAAATTTTCAAGTAAAGGCCAGGTCATAGACAAAACCTTGATTATATACAAAAATATTAAATTTTGCACCAGCTTCAAACTATAGGGAAACAATCCTTGAATTTTAGTAATGGTATATGGTCAAATCATACCACTGTTAAACACTTTGAAATGCTACTTGTGCGAAGAGCACTATGTAAATGCAGCAACAACAAAATTACAGTTGTATAGCACCTTTCGCGTGAGGGGGAGGTCCCAACAACAAATGCAAGTTGTTGATGTGCCTGTAACTTTATATTTTTGCAAAATGCAGTGAAATGACCATGTACAAAATTCTGCTAAAGTAGAATTTAATTGGACAGTTTTTACAATTTTTTTGGTATCGACAACTTGCACTTATAATAGCACCTTTCATATAGTACTTAAGTGTTTCAAAGTGGTGTACCGAGTGGGAGCCCAAACAGAGAGGGGGAGGGGGCAGGTTTGGTAGGGGAGAGATGACCCAAGGTGCAGTCAGAGAAGTACGTTTTCAATAATAATCCTTACACTTCACATAAGGCCTTTCATGTCAGGAGGATGTCTCAAAGTGCTTCACAAGATTTACTGTGAAGTGTAATGACTGTGCATTTTGTAGGCAAATGCAGCAGCCAATTTGCGCACAGCAAACAGCCACAAAGTGAATGGCCAATTTTATTTGGGGGATTATTAGTCAGTTCGCTGGAAGAAACTCACTTCTCTTTTCAAATAATGCAACGAACCCTTTCAGAAGGGTTTTGAACAGGAAGAATGATATTTGATTTTTTCTTGATCCCAGAAGTGTGCATTTCATCTCTGGTATTGTGTGTATGTAAAAAAAATTCGTTATTTTTGACATGGAGTCTTTCACATGAGGAGAATGTCTCAAAGCGCTTCACGGTAAAGTAATAAAAAAAATTTGGTCACTCAATCCACGACTGTTTATGGGACACTGCAAATGGCTGCCGTGTTTTTGGCCCCAAAATATACATTGAATTCACTTTACAGTAAATCCGGTGAAGCGCTTTGAGGTCTTGGTGATGTGATAAGCGCTATATCAAATGCAAGGATTAATATTAAGTAATAATAATAATCTTTGCATTTTATACAGCGCTTTTCACATCTTCTAGACATTTCAAAGCGCTTCACAGAATATACTGTAAAGTGTAGTGACTGTATATTTTGTGGGCGAAATGCAGCAACAACAACAAAATTACATTTATAGAGCCCCTTTCTCATCGGGAGGACGTCCCAAGCGCCGGCCCAAAGCGCGTCCGAGCAGTCAATTGCGCACAGCACCAAATCAATATTGTTTTTTTTCTCTTGAGGGATTATTATCAGCCGTATGGAGTAAGGAAACTTGTCCAAAGTTTCGCCCTGCCGGGGATCGAACCCAAGTCTCTCGCTAGTGTAGTGACTGTGTACTTTGCAGGCGAACACAACAGCCGGTTTATGCACAGCAGCGTCCCACAAGAGCCACGAGGTGAAGGGGATTAGTTTAACTGCCCACACAGCCCCTCCAGCTGCCTGTCCTGGGGGGGGGGGGGGGGGGGCACTGCACACACCAGGTGGGAGGGGGGGGGGAGAGGGGGGGACTGCCTCGCGCGGCCGCGCTCCCGGGCCGCGTTCTGATTGGCAGCAGCGTTCCATTCCGGGCCCCCCGGTTGCTCCGCATCATTGGTCGGGGCCCCGCGTCAATCAGAGGCGAAGGCCCCGCCCCCCCGGGTGCTGACCCGGAGCGGCGGCGCGCGCGCGCTCAGTGAGGGAGGGAGTGAGGGAGGGAGTGAGGGCTCGAGGCGGCGCCGAGGATGAGGACTGTGGAGGAGGTGAAGGCCACTTTGCAGGTGGCGAAGCTGGACGCTGCTGAGCTGCAGCCGGCGGTCCACTGCCTGTCTTTCCGAGACGGTGTCAGCTCCGGGGATTACTGTCTCATGGAACTGGACGAGACTCTCTGCAAATGCATCGAATCGGGCCAGAGGTGGGCGTCAGGGCCGTGCAGTCAGCCTCATGTCACTACAGCAACACACTGAGCCGTTGTCTCTAACATTCCCCCCCCCACCCCACACCCCCCAGCACAGAGCTCTATAAAGAGTAGTTTCAGGAGGATTTTATGACGAGCTTTCGCTGAGTTATCAACCATTATTATCAGCCACAATGCAATTGCGAGAATGTCTTCAGATCGATGAGCTCCAGCGTCTTAAGTTGACCATGTCAGTTATTTTATGGGATTCGAACAAGGAGGGTTTAGGATGAAGGAGGATTCTTAGGCCCATTTGAGGAGGTTGGTTTTGTTTCGCTATAGAGAGATATCACACCTTGTTTGTTTCACAAGGTAAGAGTAGATAATAATAATAATAATCCTCGCATTTGATATAGCGCTTTTCACGTCGGGAGGACGTCCCAAAGCGCTTCACAGAACACACTGTAAAGTGAATTGACTGTATATTTGTGGGCGAACGCAGCAGCCAATTGCGCACAGCAATGTCCCACAAACAGTCGTAGATTGAAAATGACCAATTTATTATTGTTTTTTATAAGAGGTACTATAAGACTGCTATTTCTTGTACCTGACCCCACTGTTATCTAACTGTTTGAAATAAAAACAATGCCAAAAACTACCAAAAGCGTAGTTGACATATGTGGAGACAATAGCAGTGATGCCTGATTTCTTAGCTGGAGGCATAAAATGTAACAGCAGATCAATATTTTGGCAGAAGGCGTTGGGAACACTCAGCAGGTCAGGCAGCATCTACAGAGAAGGGAAAGTGAGTCAACGTTTCGGGTCCAAGAATGGAGTTCAGATGAAGGGTTGTGGACCCAAAACGTTGACTCAATTTCCATTCTCCATAATAATCCTTGCATTTGATATAGCGCTTTTCACGTCTTCTAGACGTCTCAAAGCGCTTCACAGAATAGACTAAATTGAATTGACTGTATATTTGTGGACAAAATGTGGCAGCCAATTGTGCACAGCAGTGTCCCACAAACAGTCGTGGATTGAAATGACCAATTTATTATTTTTTTCTTGACGGATTATTATTAGGCGTGTGAAGTAAGGAAACTTGCCCAAGGTTTCGTCCTGATGGAAATTGAACACAGGTCTCTCGCTTGAGAGGCGAGTGCTCTAATCGCTGAGCTACAGGAATCCATAGATGCTGCCTGACCTGTTGAACGTTCCCATCGACTTCCGTTTTGTTCTCAGATTTCCAGCATCTCCAGTATTTTGCACTTTGTCTTTATTTTGGCAACTGTGCCAAAACAGTACCCGTTGCCTCCATTCCTCCGGGTCTGGCCTCCTCCGAGTCCTCCGCTCCACCCTCGGCGGCCGTGCCTTCAGCTACTATGCCCCGAGGCTCTGGAACTGCCTTCCTCACTCCCTTCTCCTCACTCCCTCCCTTCCCATTTTCAGGTCTCTGCTGAAGACCTTTCTTTTCAACCGTGCCTTTGGTCACCTTCCTCCCCCTTCCCCTGACTCGGTCCCGGGATCCGTTACTGTGAAGCGCTCTGAGTCGCCGTCCGGAGTGGTGGGCGCTATATAAATCCAAGTTGTTGTGGTGGTTGTTGTGCAACTCATTGCTTTTGAGGTACTGCATTCAGTTTCTGGCACCTCATCATACTAAAGAGATACAGTCTGAACCTGTCTTAATTGGAAGTCTGTTTATAGCATTGTGGGCCCACACGAACACAAGTGTGGTACAATTCTGGATTCCTGTACTTGTTCACAGGAATCTGCCCGGTCAGCCGCAATCACACTTGTAAGTATTCCTAGTACTAAAATATGCAAGAGTGGTTGGGGCTGGCCAGCTAGCTTCCTGCTCACTGCACGAATGTGCAGAAGCATTTTTTAGGCTATCCAAAACAGATTGACGTCCACATATGGATACCACCTCCATATGGAAATTTCACTGTATGAAAATGAGCACTCTTTCCTTGGAGGGATGCATCCTAAATTTTAGGGAGTTTTAATGAATCCAGGAGTGTGAATTTGGATTCTGCTGGGGCTTAACCAGCTAAAACCACATAGCTTCCTCCTGAGAGTACTGTCTGACTCGCTGCTTCCTAAGGTTTCTTACCTGTTAATGCTTTTGTTTTCAGAGTTTAAATTGAGCTAAGTGGAAAGAATTGCTACTCCCAGTTAGAGCTTGAAACTGGAAGTTATGTCAATGGCAACTTGATGATCTGGAAGCGTTGGTCATTCTTATTTTGTGAATCTGTTATAATTGTATCAGTTTACTTTCCAGGACTCAAAACACTGCATTATAATGAGGTTGTTTTGGAGAAACTCCGGTATAGTTTCAACAACAGCAATTTGCATTTATACAGCACCCTTTAGGCAGGGTTGCATCTCTGAGCGCTTAACAGTGGCGAAGCTTGATACCAAGTCAGGGAGAGGGAGGAGGTGACTGTTGTCATGGTCAAAGAGGGAGGTTTTCAGATGCGATCTGAAGACGGGCAAGGTGTAGAGGTTGAGGCAGAGAGTTCCATAGTTTTGGGGTGTGGTGGTTGAAAGCATGGCAGGAGTTTTAAGAAATGGATACTTAAGGGAGAATACTCTGGTGGGGTGCAAAAACATTTACATTTAAACTTGCATTTAAATCTTCCAAGTGAAGTAGCATCTCAATGGAGATCTTCCATGATGGGTCAACCAACTCCGGAATATCTCGTGACATATTCACCAAACATGGAAGAGGCTTGGAGTGAAGGAGGTTCCTTTGCATTGCAACCATTCAGTACTATTGGTATGTGTATGATGGGATTCCAGCTTTTATAGGACAGGAAATGTAAAAAGAGAAAAATGGAGGACAAATTTGAAAAAAAATTAAAAATGGAGGGAATCCATTTCTGTATTTGATGAAGTACAGTCTTGCTTCCGAGAGTGAAATATGGTGTTTCTCAGTAATACAATTAGAAAAGGATGTAGCACATCCCTTTTGTCTATCAGAGCTGGCTCCAGGCTGCGTGTAGTTTGATGTTTTCTAAATGAAATTGGGAATTGCTCGATTTAATTCTTAAAACATGCTTGAACATTCTGTTTGATTTTCTTTAGGTTGATAATCAGAGGTGATAAAGAGGAACATGCTGTTCTATGCAATAATGATAAAACTTATGATCTGAAGATAGCTGATACATCGAACATGCTGCTTTTCCTTCCTGACTGTAGCACACCCGATCAGCTGCCATCCAACCCAAGCACAGGATGTCTGATACACTCTGAGGTGAAACTTTTATATATGAAATACTGTAGGAGGGTGTGTGTGTAAAAGAGTAAATTTGTGCTCTTCCCTTGTTTTACTGCCATTATTAGAAAGATTGGTAGCACTCTCGCCTCTGGGTCAGAAGGTTGAGGGTCCAAGTCTGGCATTGGGATGCAGAACCCATATATTCCATGCTGACACTCCAGTGCAGTGCTGGGGGTCCACTGCTAGTCAGAGGTGCTGTCTTTTGGATGAGATGTTAAAACCAGGTCCCATCTTCCTGTCCAGATGGATGTAAAAGATTCCATGGTACTATTCAAAAAGATTGATAATAGCATCTCATTTCAGTGTCTGCTGCAGTATGTAAAAGCAGCAGCCAAAACTAGGATTATATCAACTGATTCAGTGGCTCCCCTTGAATTGGGAATGGACACAATTCTTGACTTTTTTTGTTGTGATAATTATTTTTATTCCAGGAATTTAGCTGTCTGGAGGAAGCATGGTTTACATTTTTTCTGCTTGTGTGTTTGGGACTATTACTGACTTTGATTTTGCTGATAGTGGTTGGAAAAGAAAATATAAAACTACCTCTGAAGTATTTGATCTTTTTGCCAAACGATAGTATATAAAAGAGAGGGAAACCTCGTACGTCTGTTCTCCCCCCCCCACCCCCAATCACCTTAATAGATGATTCAATTGATGATTCAATTTCTGTTTCCTGTTCTGCATGAAAGTGTTTCCAAGAAGCTGCAAGGTGAAGATCAGAGGCTTAAAAACAATTTTAAACAATTCTGACTGCATCTATTAATGGCTCAATTAGCAAAGTTACTGCTCAGTGTAAAACAGCCATACCAACTCGGAAGGTTCCAGCTATAACTTGCCTAATATCTCTGGATTAGTGAGGTTCCCATTCTTGATTGCTCTCCTGTGGAAGATATGCATGTGTGAACTTTGTCTGAGAAATGGATCAGGTGGCTGTGATTGAACCATGGTTGAAGAGCCTACCAGCACCCACTGACTTGGCTGACCCATGAGAATTCAATTTTAGATTGTTTTATAAATTGTGATTTAATTAAAGGAGCAACATCGGTGCAACCCCTTTTAATAGCAGAAATTCTTATCCTTAGCATTCCTCTACAGGATTTATGTCTGTTGACACTTCTCTAATTTTCCTTCAGATTTTTGCCCCTTTCAATACTTGATAGTAAGAATCAACTCTGTGGTATAGTACCACAGGTTTTGGCTTTCTGTTAAAGGACTTAATGACAATTTGCATATGAACTTGGCAGACCACTTGACCATGGGAGTTGGGGGAAAGGAAATTGAGTAAATACTCAGGTTTTTAAAAATAATGTGCATACAGTTTTGAGTAGCTCTTCCAAAGAGCCGGAACAGGCACGATGGGCCGATTGGCCTCCTATGCTGTAATATTCTATGATTCTATGATGATACATGCGTACTTCAGCCCAACTAGCCATTATTTTCAAACCTCTCACAGAAAGAAAATTAAAATGTTACATTTGATGCAGATTTACGGTTTTGCTAATAGCTACTGGGAGTTGAGAAGAACACGGCCAAAGTTGAAGAAACTGAAGAAGCTGCTGATGGAGAACCAATATGAGGGACCATCCGAAGAAAAGCAGAAAGGTTCAGATAATCCAAAGGTAGCGTCCGTTTACAGAGAGCACTTCTTACACTGCTAAATATAACTTCATAATGCATCTTTTTCTTTACGTGACTGACTCGATGCAGGTTATAATGTAGATATTTGGACCATGTGTACAAAAGGACCATCACTGGAAGGCATAGAGGAACTTTGGAAACAAATCCGCGGGTACAGTGATTCTTTGTTGTAAGAGGATTAATGCTGCATTGCAAAGAAAATTTGCTTTACATACTTTTTCTTCTTTAAGCAAGAATAACATTTCTCTTCCACTCTTCGTGCCACCTTTATTCAGTAGTGACCTAGTCCTGGGTTCCAACTGCTAGGAGATGGTCCTTTCATTGGATTTTTGGCTTCCACTCAGCATCTTCCATTCCAACATTGGAAGATACAAGGGCATTATCCCATTTTTTGACTTGTATCAATATCTAGGTGTTATGGTGGACATTAATTTTTCCTTGGACACTGTCAGTGTTCAGAACAATGAAGGGCATTCTGGCCATTCTCATCTTTAATGACAGCAAGGTCTCAATACAAGTTAAGCTTGTGACGTACAAGACATGCCTCCAAATAGTTCTCCAACATGATTTGGGGCATTTTAGAGAAGAGTTTCTTTTGACCCATTTGAGAAGTCCAGTGAGGGAGGGCTCTGGCCTACATTGATCTATAAGCCTGGAGGTGGAGTCATGGCAGGTACATCTCTTTGCCAAGCAGGACTGCAGTACTCCAGACCTGGCTTGTCAGCAGGACTTGGAAGAGCAGACCAGTTATTGGGGGCATAATTTCTTTCCATTTGCCTCCTGTTAACATTGCAAGTCAAAACCCTAATGAGTAGGGTGATCCTATCTGGACAGGCAGCTGGAAGCTTGCCACAATGCATCTTGTACAGCTTTAGCTGCTTAATCTCTAGCAGGAGCCCGACACACACTCTGGGATCCCCAAGTCTTGGCACTTGCCAACCTGCTCTAGAATTAGCTAAGCAGCAAGCATCCCTTCAGGGAAAGGGTGCACATTCCATTCCAGTCACAAGGAAATTTTCCTGCATAGTTGTCATAAGTGTGGAAATCTTTGTCTGGGTTTATGTATTGTCCAGGCACCAGACTCACCAGAAAGAGAATCATTGAGTGCTTATAATATCTGATGTAATTACTTTTTAATTGGTAGTTTATTGCTCTGGGTTTTGCAGTACACAATGGAAGATTTAATGGACAGTGTTCAAGCCAGTGAACAAGAAATACTACAGCAGCTGCAGGCGATGCATGCATACAAGATTGAAGGTAAATCGGTAAAATGAAGGGTCATCTACGAAATGCAAAGAGATCCAGAGACCCCAAATTTTTCATTGACAGTGTTAAGAACGTGGCCTTAAAAATGTACGATTATGCAGAATTGACAAAAAACAAATTCACTCTTATTTGGAAGGCTTTTCCACATTAAGAATTTGTGCATGATGTTTAATTTTAAGATAATGACATGAAGTGTTAAAACCTCTATGGAGTGGGAATTGTGTTGAAACCCCTGATTCTCCTGCAAGGAAACACTTGAGCCCAATTGTAGTATTCTGACTATTACCTTGGATCAGATCCTCTAACTCAGCCATGCAATTGCAGTTTGTTACAAGAGCGAGTAACAAAGTACGCTTAAAGGAGCAGGTGACTGTCCTATTTCAGATAAAACTTTTTATTCCAATGAAAGATACCAACATATATAGTTAATAATTAGTAATGCATGATTCTATGTTTACTGTTCAACAGATGATGATCCTTTAGAAGATGGGAGATTTCCCCATGACACCTTTAGAATTGCATTACTATTAGAAGCCTTGTAACAGATCACCGTTTATTCCTGTTAGAATAGTGGTGCATATTTAGTGGGAGTGGGGGGAAGAACAAGGTGGCATTGCAGGTGGCATCCAAAATAATTATGATAAATTGATCTGAAAATTAAATGCTAAATCTTGCTGGCATCATATTATTGCCCTTTTGCTGCTGAGTGGATTACAGTGCTACATGAGGACAAATGTGAAATCGCATTGTGGGATAAGTGTCTCAGCAAGTTGTTTGAGTTATAGTACACCAAGTGCTATTAGGAACAAAGGCTTGTTGTGTGTACAGTTTAAAAGCAATTTTTGGGGGTTAGCCTAGTGTCACCATGCTTAAGAGTATCCAACCAAACTGAGAATTCCATGCATCCCACCTACACATGGAAATTGTAGAGATATTTATTGGAATGGAATGCGAACTCTCTTCCTGGAGGAACGCATCCTGCTTAACAAATTCCAGAAAGTATTAGACACAGGTTGGCAAGAACCAAGGCTTGGGGACCCCAGAATGTGCATTGGGTTACTGCTGGAGTCTAACTAGCCAACCTCAGTTTGTCATTGAGTGCACTGCTTGGCAAGCTTTCCTGCTGCTTTTCCAGCTAGGACCACCCTACCCATTAGGTCTTTGGCTCGATTCTGACATTCTGTTGCCAAACAAAAAATTTCACCTAAGAAATCCCCTAAATTTACTATTTTTGCCTTTTCCCTACCCCCATAGGATGTTGGAGAATTCTGGAGTTTGATTATGAAATGAAACTCTTGAATCACGTGACCCAGCTGGTAGATTCAGAATCGTGGTCATTCAGTAAAGTTCCTCTAAAGGATTGCCTACAAGAACTGGAGGCTTTGGAACCACGGTGAGTGATTCAGACTGAGTGAAAGACTATGCATAACAAACCAGCTCCATTTCCTATTCTAGAGCATCCGTTAAAGATTCCGCAAAATGCTCTGAGTGCGTTTTGTAAATGATTGACTTTCCATTGTAATTTGCTGGATATTTTCTAGTTAACTGGAAGTGAAGTCCTGTGGGGTCAGTGTGGTGGTACATGATGCACAATGGAGCGGCCAGACTTGGATCTGTGCCCATGCTGAATTCTTGCTCTCGGTGCTGTCTCTGGAGAAATGAGAAATGAATGGCAGGTGTTTCCCCATAGGAAACTTGTGTCAGCTGAGTCATCTTCTCCCATCAGCTAATTTCACACCAACCCTGATGGAAGCCTGGAAGCAGGTCATCCATCGAGTTCCTGTCAGTAGATTTAAATAACTGAAGATTAAGCAGTGTTCTTCCTACTTGATAGCTGAACCTCCTATATGTGTGTCAGCCTGGCACGACCTAGACACGACTCTTGTTTCTGAGTCAGGATGTGGGTTAAAGTTCCATATCAACTTTGAACACGTATATTCTAGGCTGATCCTCCATTGCAGTGCTGGGGTACGGGGGAGAGTTGCATCATCGGAGGTGCCTTCCTTGGGATGAGATGTTATACCATGGTCCGATCTGCCTTTTCAGGTGGACATTAAAAGTGCCTATGGCACTATTCGAAAAGAGAAAGGAGTTTCTCCTAGTATCCTGGCCAACAATCCTCCAAATAAAATTGGTCATTGACTGTTTGTGTGACATTGTTGTGCAAAAATGAACTGATGTTCCGGGACCACATCACTCCCACCCTCGCTCTCCTCCACTGGCTCCCCATCCCCCAGAGGATCGATTTCAAGATCATCATCCTCACCTACAAGGCCATTCACGGCCTTGCTCCCTCCTACCTCTCTGACCTTCTCTCCCCCTACCTACCTGCCCGTACCCTCCGTTCCTCTGGCTCCGGTCTGCTCCACATCCCCCGCCCCAACCGCCCTACCATCGGTGGCCGGGCCTTCAGCCTCTCAGCCCCTAAGCTCTCGAACTCTATCCCCCAGTGCCTTTGCCTTGCCTCCTCCCTTTCCTCCTTCAAGGCCGGTCTCAAGACCTTTCTCTTTGACCGTGCCTTCAGCTCCCCTCTCGAATCTCTACCCCCTCCTCACTCCCTCCCTTCCCTCCCCTCACCCTGACCATTTCCCCCCTGCTCGGGTCCTGACCCAACTGTACAGCGCCTTGGGATGTCCTCCCGACGTGAAAGGCGCTCTATAAATGGAATCTTGTTGTTGTTGTTGATGTGTTCACCTATACATACACAGTCACTACACTTCACAGTGTATCCTATGAAGTACTTTGAGACTTCTTCCTGACATGAAAGGTGTTATACCAAATGAAAGTATTATTATGTGGCATAGAGACTAAAAAGCAATTAGAGGTAGTGAAAACGCCTTAAAACGAAGGCCCTTGCTTGAAGTGAGAAACTATTAGTCCTGTAGCTCAGTAGTTAGAGCACTCGCTTTGCAAGTGAGTTCAATTCCAGACAGGGCGAAACCTTGGGCAAGTTTCCTTACTCCACACGCCTAATAATAATCCCTCCAAAAACCAAAAACAATAATAAATTGGTCATTTTCAATCTACGACTGTTCGTGGGACATTGCTGTGCGCAATTGGCTGCCGTGTTCGCCCACAAATATACAGTCAATTCACTTTACAGTGTGTTCTGTGAAGCGCTTTGGGATGTCCTCCCGACGTGAAAAGCGCTATATCAAATGCAAGGATTATTATTATTAAGAACGTATGTTCTTTGGTTGCATATGTTGGGAGATACTACATTTGAACCAGCTGTACCAGAAATCTTACTTCACTTCAAAACTGCTTCAGTTTTAGCTCAATGGCTTCGTTGAGCAGAATTAATGAAACCATGGATTAATATTTATTTGATTCCCACAATGTCATTTGTTCTAAATTTCTATCTACATACAATACCTTCCTGTAAGCTAAAGATTCATTTCCATCTATTCCGTGCCTATTTGGCTATTGAGATCTTGTGCTCTCCACGTGTGGCATGACAGACTCAAAGCTGTTTCCTACCAATCTGAAACAATCTGTTTCATCGTCAGTGAGGCACAGAAGATTTGAGGCGTATGCATATCAAAACAAGGGAGTTACAAACTGTGCTAAATGGATTTGTTTGAATCATACAAATTATGAACAATTAAATTACTGCATCTAAACTGAGTTTGGAGTGGGAGTTTAAAGATTTGTGATTGTAATGGTATGCATCTATCTAAAATCTTATGATTTCTCACATAAATTCTTAAGGACTCAAGTCTCGAATGGGGACTCCTTCTGGTTGCCAGAAGTGATACCTACCCACAAGATTTCTGCTTCTGGAGCAGAATCGGCTATACTTACTTCTGGTTACTGGAAGCCGTCCCTATTTATGAATTGGAATCTTTATTGAGAAATATTCCATTAGAATTCACCTCGGTTTTAGCCCCTTTTGTAAGCAAGAGTGAGTCCATAATTCAGCACGTTACATATTAAGTTTTAGAAGGCTCTATTTTTCGTTATTCACTTTTGCAAATTGAAAGATATTGAAGGACTGATAAGTCTAATCATCAAAGCTCCTGTGGTGGTTAGATTTTGTCAACCAATGTGAAGGTAAATAATCTATGACTTTCTAAAAAAATATTTTTGAACAATAGGAGAGATAAATTTGATGCAATGTAATTGAGTGCTCCAAGCATCAAAGAGTGGAGCTTTGTGAGAATCTTCCAGTGTTGGATAATCTGAAACCGAAGATGGGAAAGAAATCCTGGTCTGTTTAAACCTGCTTGTGAATGACAGCTTTTCCTGAAATCATCTTTCCGTCTCTTGCACAACGATGTGTGGTTCTTGTGTAGAATGAGCCTTTTGTTACCCCCTCTGAGATTACATGTTTCGTGTCAGTTGCCGAGGTGATGGTAGTAAAGCCCAGAAATAAATGTCAGTGTTTAGCACAGTGCCAAATCTTCTCCACAAAGTAGGATTTGAATAATAGTGTGAAGTTCGATCATCTGTTAAAAGTGTGCCATTTTATTATATGTTTAATTGCTGCATGCTCAAATGTTTAAAGTGCTTTTTTTTAAAAAAAAGCTTTTATTTCAAATACTTGTTAATGGGAACTAGGAGAAAATTGAAGCAAACATCTTGATAATGCCATTATTATCACATTCATTATCACATTCATTCTAGTTGGATGTTGTGCAGCATGATCTGAGTCATTGAGTAAAAATAAAGTTTAAGCTTTGAGGTACACTTATTGCGTTAACCAGTTGTTCCTGCCAATTGTTCCTCTTTTCCTGGCCCCTCCATCATCTTCCACATAGCGGAATACTTTTGAGAGTTGAATAACCTGGGTCCAAATTGTATCAAAATGGTCAGGATTAGCTGTGATGCCCCACAGTTAAATTGTCTTCCAATTTCGCTATTAAGGCTCACACACATGAATAATAGCCACTCAGTCAAGGCTTTTACGAGGATGTCACCAGAGATAAGTGGATATTTGTATCAAAAAACAGTGGACAAGTTGGAGCTTTTAAATCTGGTGATGATTGAAAATGATCTGATGTATGTGTTTAAATGTATGAAACAATTAATAAGGTGGATGAATTCTAGTGGGAGAGCTGGGGGAAATGAGAAAGAAAAAAGCCACTGAGGGGAGGGGACAAAATTGTTAGAATCATAGACGTTTACCGCACAGAAGGAGGTCATTTGGACCATCAAATCTGCACTAGCTCTCAGAGCAAGGTGTTCATTCAATTGCCCTGCCCTATACCCATATCCCTTCAAGCCTCAAGCTTTCATAAACTGAGGGGAAAAAGCCTTTTGCACAAGGCAAACAATAATAATAATAATCCTTGCATTTGATATAGCGCTCTTCACGTTGGGAGGACGTCCCAAAGCGCTTCACAGAACACACTGTAAAGTGAATTGACTGTGTATTTGTGGGCGAACGCGGCAGCCAATTGCGCACAGCAATGTCCCACAAACAGTCGTAGATTGAAAATGACCAATTTTTATTATTGTTTTGGAGGGATTATTATTAGGCTCTGTGTGGAGTAAGGAAACTTGCCCAAGGTTTCGCCCTCTGCCTGGAATTGAACTCAGGTCTCTCACTTGCAAAGCGAGTGCTCTAACCACTGAGCTACAGGACTCCACAATACAAGGCAAGAACCTTGAGGAAGGAACTATGCTTCCAGTAAGACCATCCGGGTTTGAGTACTAATCTGACATTGTCCAACACTGTTTGTCCTCTGTGGATTCCTTCTCTGTAATCGGGAAGAGCTAACGTTTCTCCTAACAGCGAGCTATGGCATCAGGAGCTAAGCCAGGAACAGACTAGGGCATTAATGTGAGTTTCATTATAAGTATGTATGTAGTATGTATGCTTTTTTATTTAATATTGTTAAGTTTAAATAGCACGTTTATGTTAAAAGATCAGTATAGGGTTTCATAGGTTGCAGCAATTTTAAAGTGAAAGAATTTCCATTCTAGTCCTATTTTTATTATTATTATGACTGCATTTAAATAAGGGATCTATGAAAGAGGAAACTGCAGTGTAGTGTATTCTTATTTGAGGTTACTTGTGGCTTTTTGTTTGTGTGAGGCGCAATTTCCAAAAAAACTTCTGGAGAGTCAGAGCATTAGATGATTCACTAATTGAGCTCGTGTTACCCTGTGTGGGCCGCCCTATATCAGGCCACATGCTTCCACGCTGGAGAACAGCACCATGGGCTTCGTCCAGTTGCTTTGGCAGGGAGCCAGGGTGGCTGCATACGCTTAATCACAGTACATTATGGAGAAGTGAGAACCTGCAACTGAGGGGTAAGAGGAAGTAAGAGCAAGTGGGAGGAGTCGTATGTATGAAATGCTACAAAGTGGGACTGTCTACTTGAAGCTATAAACTTTGTTTTACTCTTGGTTGGCCAACAAAAGGTTAAACCAATGAAACATTTTTATGTAACTGATTCTCTGTCTCCAAAAGGGACGCGTTTTGTTAAACTTTGTGGCCCTCTTGTCTTTTTCCCACAGGGAGATGATAGAACATTGTCTCAATTGTTATGGCAAAAGATACACAGATGAAGGTATTTGCTTCATACTTCATACTTCAGTTACTAGAATTTTGAATTACAAGAATCATCCTTATATTTGATATTGTGCCTTTTACATCAGGAGAACTTTTCAAAGCGTTTCATAGGATTTACTATAAAATGTAGTGACTGTATTTTTTTAAGCAAACACAGTAACCGATTTGCAAACAGCAGCCAGCCCTGATATAAATTACAATTTTATCTGGGGAGATATTGGCCACTACATTAGGAGAATCTTTAAACTTTTTGAATAATGCCATGAGATCTTTAATGTCTGTCCAACTAAACAGGCAAACAGGATCTTGTTTAACATCTCATCTCCCAAAGGATGGATGACTGCAGACAACAGGGAGACAGAGTTTATTAAAGTGCAGAGTTTGATCAGAAAGACCTTGTCAAAAACAAAAAAAAATTGATTTTTCTCCCCAGGTGAAAAGGTGCAAATTTTAGACCAGCAAGAATTTATTTTACACAGAGCTCAATGAATATAGTGGTTCTCATTGTATGGTGGTATTTAGGATCCACATAATCCCAACCTGTGCTATAACAAGGCGTAATAGTGGATTTCACTGCATACGCTGACAACTGGTCGGCTCACTTGCTTCCTTCAAACCACTGTGCTGATTAAAATGATCAAGTTCCAGGTCATTGGGACACCACTCCTGTTTGCTGAGCGTGCGGCAGCAAACTAATGACCTGGAATCTGGAGATCAGCAGGCTGGCTACGTACATGCACAGTGAATGGGGTCCACAGTGCAAACACTGTAACCAAATTCGAACTATAAATAGATGTAACAGAGATACACTTTTAACTGGATTGGATTATCAGAAACGAAGTTAAGGCAATTTTTTGTTTTGATGTTCCACCCAGGTTCATCTTAGATGTTTCACTGTGATTTCATATAATTTGTAGTATCAATTTGCATAAATAAGAGTAAATAGGAAACTCTGGAAATCTTAATAGTAATAACCCTTGCATTTGATATAGCGCCTTACCATGTCTTCGAGACGTCTCAAAACACTTCACAGAATATAATGTAAAGAGAATTGACTATTTTGTGGGAAAAACGCAGCAGCCAATTGTGCACAGCTGTCGATAAAACTGGTCGATGAGTATCTCAAAGGGAATCAGATTTCTGCTTGTGTGCAAGCGTGTTTGTGTGTGTGTTTGGGGGGGGGGGGAGAGGGGGTTGTGCGTGTGTTGGAGCAGTTGTTCAAAATTTCCAGAATTTTACTTGTCTTTTCAGCAGAAGAGGTTTTTTATGATCTGAATGAGGATGAGGTCTGCAAGGCAACCGCACTGATGCTGTTACAGAATGCTGTTAAATTCAATCTGTCTGAGTTTCAGGAGCTCTGGCAGCAGAGCGTCCCTGAGGGCATGTCAACAAGACTAGATCAGCTCAAGGTACAAAATGTTACTTGCAGTTCTGTTTATTTTATTGTCGGTCTTTTATATTGGCACTGGATTCCTACTGTCTGACTTTTACCCCACCCTCCTACATATTCTATTTTGTTTTGTCTTAAAATCCTCTTGCTCTGATAGTTTGGTACTGAACCACACATACGAGAAAGAATCCTAGGTTCAATTTCTGGGCTGCACTGATTTAGTTCACTTCAGTCAGGACAGCCTCAGCACTCCCTGGGTTAGCAATCAGATGAAACCCTGGCTTTTTCTCCTCACTATCAGCAGTTTTCCCTCTTCCTCCTCCCTTGCTAGATAGGTGCAACTGCACCTGAACCTGTCTGAACACCAGGTGTACCTTGGTCAAAAATGCCTTTTTTTGCAGCCATTTTCTTTCTATGAGAGAGATTTGTTTCACCAAAGGAGAAACCAAGTGCAGTCACATTTGCAGAATGGACAACTGCACGAAGAACATTATTATTACTCCAACCAGAGCATGGAAGCTTCACAAATCCTCTGCTAAGGTGGACACATTTAGTATCCATTTAGCAATCTAACTGCTTGCTCAAGTTAGGAAATGGATTGCCATGTGCTGGTTTGGGATTTGTGTGCTTTTCTAATGAGTTACTCCATTGTGCAGGGCGCAGCTCTTGTGGATAGAAATTCAAGGCCACAAGTGATTTCTCCTCTTAAGGTGGAGGATCTGTCAGAGAACACCCAAGAGCGTTTCAACACCCTCTTTAACATCAGGACAAAGTGGACAGAGGAAGACATTTCTCCATACATTCAGTGAGTATTTTCTCAGATCATTCCCAGGGGCTCTAGTGTAAAGCTGGCATCTGTGTCTGGAGCTACCACATATTACGTGGCTTAACAAGTGGTGGACATTCAACCTTTTTGTTATCCACCCGCTTCTCTATACAGAGCAAGGGACTTGTGTCACTTGTTTTGGAAGCTTGGGCTTGTAGACTGAACCACCCGAGGGCACTTCCTGCGAAGTGGCAGAATGTCTTGGTTTCTGCACAAGTGGAATGATACAACAACAACATTACATTTGTATAGCGCCTTTCACGTCGGGAGGACGTCCCAAGGTGCTGGACAGTGTACAGCGTTTCAGACCCGAGCTGGGGTCATGGGGAGAGAGGGGAGGGGAAGGGGGGTGACCACTGGCATGGTCGAAGAGGAGGGTTTTGAGGCGGAACTTACAGACACATACACACACAGACACTGAGCTAGGCTAACACACAAACACACATACAATGAGCCGGGCTGACACACGCACAGACACTCTCTCTCAGTATTTCAGGGCAGGTCACTTTCTGTCTGTGTGTCAGCCCGGGTCAGAGCATGTGTGTGTGTATGCGTGTGTTTGTGTGTCAGCCTAGCTGAGTGTGTTTGTGTGTCTGCAGCAGCTCTGTCTGTGTGTTTGTTTGTGTGTGTGTGTGTGTGTGTGTGTTTGTCAGCCCAGCTGAGTGTGTCTGTATGTCTGAGACACAGGCACACACAACAACAACAAAATTACATTTATAGAGCGCCTTTCATTCCAGGAGGATGTCCCAAAGCGCTGAATAGTCAGGTGTCGGGGCCCGAGCATGGGGGAGGGGTGGTGTAGGGGTGAGGGAAGGTGGAGAGGTGGGAGGGATGCCAAAGGCACAGTCGAAGAGAAGGGTCTTGAGACCGGCCTTGAAGGAGGCAAGGGAGGAAGAGAGGTGAAGGGAGGTAGTGGCGGAATCTGGCAATGTTGCAGAGGTGGTGGTAGGCAGTGCCGGTCATGGCACGGATGTGGGGGAGAAAGGACAGTTCAGGGTCAAACAAGATACCCAGGTTCCTGACTGGCTTAGTGAGGTTGAGTGTACAGGCATGGAGGCTGATGCTGCCAGTGCCCGAGGTGCCCGAGGGACGTCCTCCTGACGTGAAAGGCGCTTTATAAATGGAATCTTGTTGTTGTTGTTGTTGTGCAGAGGCGCTGGCGTGAGCCAATCAGGAGGGCCTCAGTCTTGCTGACATTGAGTTGGAGAAAGTTGGCCCTCGTCCAGGACTTGATGTCAGACAGGCAGTCGGTCAGGACGCCAGTAGTCCTGGAGTTCAGGGTGGAGGCAGAGAGATAGAGTTGGGTGTCATCCACTTACATGTGGAAATTTACCCCATGTCTGCGGATGATGTCACCAAGGGGGAGCATGTAGAGGGTGAAGAGGAGGGGACCGAGGTCAGAGCCCTGAGGAACAATACACGAGACAGTGCGGCGGCTGGAGGAAAGGCCGTTTGCCGCGACGAAGTGGAGGCAGTGTGAAAGGTAGGACCTGAACCAGTCCAGGACAGAACCTTAAAGGTTGAGGTGGGAGGACAAGCGGTGGAGGAGGATTAAGTGGTCCACGGTATCAAAGACGGTGGCGAGGACGGGAAAGCAGAGGGAGCCCTGGTCACACATGGTCAGGATGTCGTTTGTGACCTTGACCAGAGCAGTTTCCTTGCTGCGGGCAGCACGGAAACCCGATTATACAATATACAAAAGTTATAAGTGCTTAAAATGCAATGGTAAGTTTCAGTTGTCATTTTAAGAGGAATGCATTTACCAGTTCACAAATTATTGATAAATATATTAAATGAGGAGAAACCTCAAAGCAAAGACTTCAGTGAGTCTTGAAAAATCCAGCTTGATGTTGCATATTGCTTTAAGGCTAAATTGTCAATTAGACATTGACAATGAGAAGCAAGAAGGAAGCATAAAAGAATTTGGGGAAAGTTACTGGGCAGAGTGGTAAAGAGAGTGGAAGTATAAGGTTGAAATAAGGGGGCTATTGAATCTAAACTGTTGTAGATTGACAAATATTGCACTTGCTTTCTGACTCCTCAAAATCCAATCTAGAAATAATCCACAACACAACAGAGGAATTGCTTGTTGTTTATGGGTCGGTCTGAAAGTAGAACCACCAGGAAGTATAACTAGGAAGGGGATGAGCTCAAACAGAAACATGTCTGTGTCACCATTCCCCTTGGTAACTTCATACCCTGAGGGTACCACACAGAGTTCCTTTCCAAACATAGGATTTTTTTTGTGCAAGGAATTCTGTTTATAATAATAATAATAATACTTGCATTTGATATAGCGCTTTTCACGTCGGGAGGATGTCCCAAAGCGCTTCACAGTACACACTGTAAAGTGAATTGACTGTATATTTGTGGGCGAACGCGGCAGCCAATTGCGCACAGCAATGTCCCACAAACAGTCGTAGATTGAAAATGACCAATTTTATTATTGTTTTTGGTTTTGGAGGGATTATTATTAGGCTCTGTGTGGAGTAAGGAAACTTGCCCAAGGTTTCCCCTGCCTGGAATTGAACTCAGGTCTCTCACTTGCAAAGCGAGTGCTCTAACCACTGAGCTACAGGACTCCACTGTTTGGTTTGGACACTCTTAAGTATGCTGATGGGTATGTGACAGACACCAAGGTGACCTCCCCCCACCCCTCAAGAAAACTGCAGGGACTCTTAAATTTATTATTTCTTGTTTGCTGATTTTCTCCATAGTATGAAAAGGTATGAGAAGTGCCCTCTTCAGGTTAATAGTGGCTGTTGCAAGAGGCAGAAATAACCTGTATTTTTATAGAGCATTAACAAGTTGAAATGTCTCAAAACTCTTCATGGTGCATAGTGTTAAGTGTAATGAATGTTTTTTGTAGACAAATGTGGCAGCAATTTTGCATGGAACAATTTTGCAAGTGCCACAAACAGCCTTCCTTGTTTAATGTTCAAATTTATCTGGAGGATTGTTCTCCAGGATACAGGGGGAAAACTCCTTTCTCCTTACGAATAGCTTCATGGGATCATTCACGTCTACTTAAACAAGCGAACAGGATGTTTGTTTAACGTCTTGTCTGAAGGATGGCATTTAATAATAATCCTTGCATTTGATATAGCACCTTATCACGTCTTCGAGGACTCTCAAAGTGCTTCATCGAATATACGATAAAGTGAATTGACTGCACTGTTCAACTCAGCAGGAACTGGTTTCTCAAAAAGATCACTTGCAGTATTTCTGTCATGTGAGAGATACTTCTGATGGAGTAATACTAATTATCGCGCATCTCTCTGCCCCTCTTCTCTCCCTTCCCGCCTGGCCCTTTCCCCACTTTCCTGTAGAGAATCTGGGGGTCCACTTACATTGGAAGCTACTTTGCTGGCGTCAGTTACAGCAGTATTTCCAAATGGAACTCTGTATTGACATCAAGGATCCGACATTTCTCTTGTTCAACTGTTTGTGTTGAATCTCCTCCGGTGCTTAACTATATGAATTTTAAAAAAAAGCTTTATATAAAAATTGGAGTGTGAAGATTGCTGAATTGCAACCATTTAAGTAATTTTTTTATGGTTAAATTTCTTGTGTGTTTTAACAGGGATTTATGTGGAGAGAAACAGACCATTGGAGCTCTACTGACAAAATATGCCCGTTCTTCCATGCAGAATGGAGTGAAAGTCTTTAATTCCAGAAGGCCATTCTGATGGTGTAATCCCAAGTTATTTGAAACCTAACAGAAAAATGGAAATCAAAAAAGTTCAATGAGCTTCTGTTCTTACCACCTACTTTTTGAGTCCCCGGAAAACCAGCATTGTATGTGTGTGTATATATATGATATATATATGTGTGTGTGTATTTGTGTTTAATATTCCAAGTGATAAACAGGCTAAATAAATGTTGAAAATTCATAGCTCTTTAAAAGTATTAAAAAGAAAAGCGATTTTTTGACAACTGGAATGTAAAACTATGCTAAGTTATTGTCTTGGGTAGCCTGAATGATGGTGTACTTCTTGAGAGTCGCAAACTTTCCCCGATACTTCAGAGGACTGATATTCCTGTGGGTGTTTTTAATGTTAGTGCTGTTGATGATGTTCTGACAGGATTTCCCCATTATAATTGCACATCGTCAGTGTCATATATAACATTGTAGAATTTCAGCCTTTGAAATATGACTTGTTGGCTTATATCTTCAGGCTGATTCAGAGTTTGCCTTGAGAAAATCTAGCTGGGGAGACAATTGCATAAATATATATATAATACTAGCTGTACCTATTGCGGCTATGCTTGCAACTAAATGATCCAGTATGGAATGCAATTGCAGTGAAACCCCTCACAAGCCATTTAACATGCCATAAACACTGTGTGTTAACCAAAATGATTGCAGACACTAACTCCATAATTTTTGTATGCTCGTTTTTAGAGCTGGCGTTTTCAGTGATACCATTCAAACACAGACCATGTTACATGCCATAAACCCCGTATGCACACCTTAAGCAAAACTGGCATACATGTGTGATGAGCTTGTTTTCAGCGCCTTGGGAAGTCCTCCCGACATGAAAGGCGCTATACAAATGTAATCTTGTTGTTGTTAGGTCATAGCTCATCAACGATAGGTGATTCTCCCCCACAATATGCCATGACACTCCCCCCAATCAAGATCTTTCTGATGAGGTATAAATCATACCTCTGTCAATCGGTTATTGAGTTCTTGGCTGACAGACAGACATTACCTCTTTATTAGTATATGAAAGAAGAGATAGAGATGGAATATATATATATACACACATATTCAATACAAAATTACATTTGTAGAGCGCCTTTCAAGTCGAGAGAACGTTCTAAGGTTTTGAACTGTCAGGGATTAGGACACGAGTTGAGGGGGAGGGCAGAGAGGGTAGGTAGGTGGAAGGTAGGAGGGTGGCAAAGGCACAGTCGAAGAGAAGGGTCTTGAGGTGTGTCTTGAAGGAGGCAAGGGAGGGAACAAGGTGAAGGGAATGTGGGATGGAGTTCCAGAGGGTGGGGGCAGAGAGGCTGAAGGTCTGCCTGCCAATGGTAGGGCGGACCAGGCGGGGTACGTAGAGCAGACTTGAGATGCTGTACAGAGGGAGCAGACAGGTTGATAAGGAGTTAGCCGGTAGGAGGGAGCAAGGCCATGGAGGGCCTTGAAGGTGAGGACTAGAATTTTGAACTCGATCCTCTGAGGGTTGGGGAGCCAGTGGAGCCGGGCAAGGGTAGGTGTGATGGGGTCACGGAGCCTGGTGTGGAAGAGGACATGAGCTGCAGAGTTCTGGATGATCTGCAGCTTGTGGAGGGAAGAGTTGGGAAGGCCGACAAGTAGGGCATTGGCATAGTCGAGCCTGGTTGTAATGAAGGCATGCATGGTTTCAGCGGCCTGAGGAGTGAGGCAGTTGCGGAGGTGGAAGGCAGAGCAGCTCATGGCACAGATGTGGGGGAGAAAGGAAAGTTGAGGGTCGAACAAGACGCCCAGGTTCCTGACAGGCTTGGTAAAATGGAGTGTGTATCCATGGATGCTGATGCTGCCGATGCCTGAGGTGCGGAGGCGCTAGCACGAGCCAATCGAGAGCCTCGGTCTTGCTGACATTTAACTAGAAAGTTGGCTCTCATCCAGGACTTGATGTCTAACAGCATTCTGTCAGAACGGCAGTGGTCCAGGAGTCGAATCCTCGACCTCTGGTTTGGGGTTGTCGGGGCATGTTAAAAAAGTCAGGAGGAGTGTCTTGGTGAGGAGGAAACTGGTGATGTGGCGCTCGCTGTCCATCACCAGGAAAAATCTGGTGATAAAGTGTGAGGCCGTCTCGGTGTTACTGTACTTGGCCCAGGTTGCCCACAGATATCCGGTCAATTCACTTTACAGCAATTCTGTGAAGCGCTTTGAGACATCGAGAAGACGTGAAAAGCGCTATATCAAATGCAAGGATTATTTATTATTATAGGTCTGGCCTTTGACCAGGAACAACGCCACTGCAGTCACCAGAGAGGTCTTCCAACTGAAGTGGGAGTCCAAGATGGATCATGTCCGCTGAGACACGATGCACAAAACCCCAGAAAATGGGGGGAAAGTGCTCCCTAACGCCTGATCCTCATGGCCACCTTTGTGTGTAGCTGCCTGAGGCTGTGCTTGATTTGATTTCAAGATCCTCATCCTCACCTACAAGGCCATTCACGGCCTTGCTCCCTCCTACCTCTCCAACCTACTATCCCCCTACCTACCTGCCCGTACCCTCCGTTCCTCTGGCTCCGGTCTGCTCCACGTCCCCCGCCCCAACCGCCCTACTATCGGTGGTCGGGCCTTCAGCCTCTCAGCCCCGAGGCTCTGGAACTCCATCCCCCAGTGCCTTCGCCTTGCTTCCTCCCTTTCCTCCTTCAAGGCCGGTCTCAAAACCTTTCTCTTTGACCGAGCCTTCAGCTCCCCTCTCGACTCTCTTCCTCCTCCTCGCTCCCTCCCTTCCCTCCCCTCACCCTGACCATTTCCCCCCTCCTCTCTCCCTCCCTTCCCTCCCCTCACCCTGACCATTTCCCCCCTGCTCGGGTCATGACCCTACTGTGCAGCGCCTTGGGACGTCCTCCTGACGTGAAAGGCGCTCTATAAATGGAATCTTGTTGTTGTTGTTGTTGTTGTGCCTGGAGCCCCGCTACGCCGGCAACAAATACCGCTATGTACTGGGTTTCTACCTGTGCTCGGTGCTAAGAAAGGGTCTTGGGACGTCTTCCCAACTTGAAAGGCGCTATACAAATGTAATTTTGTTGTTGTTTTTGGGTCTGGCAGAACTGCCTTGAAACGTTCCACACAGTTGAAGAGTGCTGAACCACCAATCCTATGTTGAGAAATTCCTGAAGAGCACCATCCCAGACCCCTGTGCAATCACCAAGTGGTGCGTGCGGCAGGCAGTCAAAACAGTTTGAAAGGGGGAGAGGACAGACCTGATCGGGAGGTACCCTGTGATGACAGCCAGCTACGCCTGGCAAAACCCCTCATCACCGGCCCTGACCAACAACCATCAGGACATGGCCTGGCTGGCGATAAAAGGGGCCTCCCCCTCGGGGCTTTCATGCACAGTTGAGGTCTGGGCCAGTCAGCACACTGCCCTGGGGCCGGCTCCAGAGGCCAGGAGACCCTGGACCACCTCTTCCTGGAGTGTTGTTTCGCAAAGGCAGTTCATAAAAAGATGGAATGGATTCTCTCGCGGTTCGTCCCTGGGGACCCGCTGTCATGGCACTCGGTGCTGTACGGCTTGTTCCCGGGCACTCACAGCGAAACGCATATCGAGTTTGCCTGGAGAATCATGAACTCAGTAAAGGAGCCCCTTTGGCACTCCCAAAACCAGGTGTTCTTCTGGCAGAATGAGGGGACGATGAGGGCCTGTCTCAGGCTCGTGCACGCTAGGATCAGGGACTATATACTGAGGGACAAGCTGAAGTTCGGCTTAATCGTGGAAAAGGCCAGGTGGAGCCTGACTACGGCAGGAGCCGCACCGGGACAAACCGCTCAGGGCGCACCCACTGGGTAGCCCATGAGTGCACCCAAAACTGACTGAAATAAACATAGGGTACAGAAGGACACTTGAGATGTAACCAAAGAGCATCCCGAAAATGTATGTACGGTAAACATGTGCACGTATGGTGCCCAGTGCGCCTTATCGGGGTGTGCTGTGGGCACATGGATGTGGTGCACACAGGGGCGACTCCTGACTGTTAAAGGGAGCGTCCCAAAAGACGTGCACAACCTATGTGCAGTGAAGGAAAGTACCGTAAACAACTGAATACTTTTTTGTATCGGGAGAAAGGGAAAAATTGTAACAGAAGATGTTGTTTGTTTTGGATTTCTGTTGTACTAAATATTATATTTATAAATAAATAAATATATATTTTTAAAAAAGCTGATGCTGCCTGAGGTGCGGAAGCGCTGTGTGAATCAATCCGGAGAGCCTCGATGTTGTTAACGCTTAACTGTAGAAAGTTGGCTTTCATCCAGGACTTGATATCTGACAGGCAGTCTATCAGGATGTCAGTGGTCCTGGAGTCCAGGGTGGAGACAGAGAGGTAGTGGGTGTCATACGCATACATATGGAAGTTGATCCCATGTCTGCAGATGATGTCACCAAGAGGGAGCATATAGAGGTTGAAGAGGACAGGACCGAGTTCAGAGCCCTGAGGCACATGAGACAGTGCAGGGTCCAGAGGAGAAACCGTTTGTGGAGACAAAGCGGAGCCGGTGTGAGAGATAGGATCTGATATACACACACATATATATAATATATATATGTAAAGAAGATAGAAGAAGATTGTCGTGGGCACGAGTGGGTTGGAAAAGAAGCAGTCATCACCAACCACAATTGAACAAATCAACTGCATCTCAAGGGGACCTAAAGAGAAATGCTCCTTTACCTGCTCATCTCCGGAGACTCAATTCTCAGATGTGGGTAAACCTCTTGTACTCCATTTAGGCTTCTCCCAAAGGCATCCACATGCTTCCCCATTCAGGTAGGAGAGTGCTAATTCAGTCCACAGGAGGGTGCTGTGCTGGAGATCTGATTGATTCCCAGTTTTTCCACAAGGATAACGTGGAAGGAAAGGCAGGACGAGCAAATAAAGTGTTTAATGTTTAATGAAAATTGTTTTGTAATCTGAAGTCGATAATAAAGGAATAAAGCTGTTCCATATGATGGAAGAAATGTCATCCCACCCTACCTCGGCAACCTCCTTCAACTCTACTGTCCCTTTGCTTAGCAAGCACTCCTGTAGCTCAGTGGTTAGAGCACTCCCTTTGCAAGCGAGAGACCTGGGTTCGATCCCCGGCAGGGTGAAACCTTGGGCAAGTTTCCTTACTCCATACGCCTGATAATAATCCCTCAGGAAAAAAACACAATACATTGGTCATTTCAATCCATGACTGTTTGTGGGACGCTGCTGTGCGCAATTGGCCGCCGCAATTCGCCCACAAATACACAGTCAATTCACTTTACTCTTATTTTGTGAAGCGCTTTGAGACATCGAGAAGACGTGAAAAAGCGCTGTATCAAATGCAAGCATTATTATTAAGCACCGGCCTGCTGCGCGGCCCCCCCCCCCCCACCGTGTTTGCCGGTTGTGGCACGTGGGCTTTTAGCCGTTAAGCCTTGGAAGCAGGAACTTCACCTTGAAGTCCCTCTGACTCGCTCCCCAATCCTCTTTCGACGCACGGCTCGAGATGTACCTCTTCGGCTGCGCTTTGGCTCATCGCTCCCCTCCCCAGCCCCAAGGCTTGCGCTCCGCCCTCGGCACTCGGGTGCCCACTGGCGTGACTGTAGCTTGTCCGCGTGCCCCTGATGTGAAAGGTGCTGTGTAAAGGTGAGAGGCTGTGGTAGTGGCCAAAAGGGTTTACCAGAAATTAAAGCACATTTGTAGCCCAAAGTCCGCTGAACAGTAGCCCAATATCATACGTTGCCTCCCACGGGGAAGTGGCTCATTTGGGTCAGAGCTTTCGAAACCAAGATGAGGCCCCTTCAAAGGAAAGTTTAAATTACACACGGCTTTAAATTGGGGACCGGCCCCAAGACCTTTTTTTTTAAGAAAAAAGAAGCCTCAGTGATGCCCAACGAAAAGCCGCCCAATCGGGCGTGAAGCCGCCCACGTCGGCGCTGGCGAGCGCGGGGCACGTGACCGCCGGTTGGCACGGAAACGGTGACGTTGCCGCGCTGCGAACCGTCGCGAGGCGGTCAGAGGTCACGAGCATCATGGCTGCCACGGGTGGCGGTTGGGGGGGAGAAAAGGGCGGCGTGAGGAGAGCCTGAGCTCGGCCCCCGGCCCCCGGCTACCGGCCCCCGGCAACCGCCGCTCTCCCCCCCTCCCCCCGCCCCTCTGTACCGGCCGGGGGTGAGCAGCGGGCGCGCGGGGAGCGGATCGCAGTGAAGCGCGAGCGGCGACATGAACAGGAAGAAGAGCGATAAGGGGTTTGAGAGTCCGCGGCCTTATAAACTATAAGTATTTTAATATAATTACAATTCAGTGATCCGCGCGCGGGCGGTGGGTGGGGGGGGAGTGGGAGAGAGGTCTCTCTGTGTTTTTCTTCGGCTCGTCTCTTGGTGCCTTCACTCGCGCGACAACCGTCATCCCAAACGCTTCAAGAGGAATAATACTAATAACAATAATAATAGTAATCCTTGCATTTCCTTGCAATAACCCTTTCCTCCTACAAGGCCGGTCTCAAGACCTTTCTGTTCAACCGTGCCTTCAGCTCCCCTCTCGACTCTCTACCCCCTCCTCGCTCCCTCCCTTCCCTCCCCTCACCCTGACCATTTCCCCACTGCTCGGGTCCTGTCCCAACTGTGCAGCGCCTTGGGACGTCCTCCTGACGTGAAGGCGCTTTATAAATGCAATCTTGTTGTTGTTGATATTGCAGGTTATCATGTCGTTGAGACGTCTCAAAGCCCTTCACAGGATAAACTGCAAAGTCCATTGATTGTGTGTTTTTGCGAGCTCTTTGCGATCTAATCCGGAGTATCCGGAGTAGACTGTGTCCCGGAGCTCCAGTTATATCTCTACTTACAATAATCCTTGCATTTGATATAGCGCCTCATCACGTCTTCGACACACCTCAAAGCGCTTCACAGGATACACTGTAAAGTGTAGCGACTGTATATTTTGTCCACAAAATATACTTACCACTGAGAGCTCAGCTCAGATGCAGCGTAGATAACAATAAGAGTTTCCTTTTTGATACCTTAACATCCCCCATCCCCTCACTCCAAACTATGTGGTTTTAGCTGGTTAGACTCCAACTGTATTCCCAATGCACACTTTAGGTCCGCCAACCGGCACGTTCGGATTTAGGTAAGCAGGGTGAGTCCCTCCAGGGAGACAGAAGGGCAACTTTGCAGTTTCTCTAAACCGGACACAAGGGTTCATTCCCACATATCACAAAAACAGAAGTTGCTGGGAACACTCAGCAGGTCAGGCAGTTTCCATGGAGAAAGGAAAGTGAGTCAATGTTTCGGGTCCACGACCCTTCGTCAGAACGGGGGCATGTTTGAAGGGAGAAGCTTTTAAGGGCTAACAGAGAGGGGGGAGGTAAGGCAAGGAATGCAAAGGAGAAAATGGGGTAGAGGACAGGGGATGATGGGATAGGGAGGTGTTAATGACGCAAAGCAAAGAGGGGGGATTGCGGCAAAACGTGAATAGAGGTGTTGATAATGCAAAATAAAGGTGGGGGTGGGTGGAATTGCAACAAAACGGGCAGACCGGAGAGAGAAAAGGTATGTCTGGGACCCAGATGTTGTGTTAATGGCTACAGAAGAGAGAGAGAGAGAGAAGGTAAGCTGTTATGATCTGCTATTATGACCATGAACAGCGAGCATAACGAGGAAGGTGAGCTATTATGACCATAGCAGCTCACCTTCCCCCCCTCCCCATCTTCTGTGACCATTACCGCATCATCTAGATCCCAGGCACACCTTTTCGCTATTTGGTCTGCCTGTTTTGTTGCAATTTTCCCCTGCCTTTTTGCATTATTAACATCTCTATTCCCCTGTTTTGTTGCAATTCCCCCCCTTTGTTTTGCATTATTAACACCTCTTTAACCCATCATCCCCTGTCCTCTACCCCATTTTCTCCTTTGTCTTCCTTCCTCTACTCCCCTCTCTCTGGTAGTCTGTTAAAAGCCTCTCCTTCCCAACGTGCCCCAGTTCTGACAAAGGGTCATGGACCTGAAACATCGACTACCTTGCCTTTCTCCATAGATGCTGCCTGACCTGCTGAGCTTTCCCAGCGAACTTCTGTTTTTCTTTAAGATTTCCAGCATCTGCAGTATTTTGCATTTTACAGTTCAAGATCCTGGTCCTCACCTTCAAAGCCCTCCACGGTCTTGCTCCCCCCTACTTCTGCGACCTTCTCACCCCCTACCATCCTGTTCGCTCTTTCCGCGCAGCGGGCTCCAGCCTGCTTCATATACCCTGGCTTGCTCGCCCCACTATTGGCAGGCGGGCCTTTTGCCGCTCTGCCCCCACCCTCTGGAACTCCATCTCGCAGACCCTCCATCTCGCCCCCTCCCTTGCCACCTTCAAGACCCATCTCAAGACCTCTCTTTGACCGTGCTTTCGATCTCCCTGCTTCCCCCCCGGCCCTCCACCCTCCCGCACCCCTACCCCTTGGGTTCATAACTGTCTGTCCAGTGCCTTGCAACGTCTTCCCGACGTGAAAGGTGCTATACAAATGTAATTTTGTTGTTTTGTTTAACGTGTTTCTATACCTGGAGTTCTAGTTCCATCATCAGTTTCTCCCTCCGCAAACAGCTGCCACCTGTGGGTAAATAACCCGACTGGTGTCCGGTTAATGCGTCTGATCAGACGCTGTACAATTTCCATTAAAACCGGACATTTTGGTCCAAAACCGGACAGTTGGTAACCACAGGAGAGAGAGTGCAATCAATTCCAGATATGGAAATTTCTGTATGTAGGTTGGCTTACATAAGTAGAATTCTCAGTCTGGTTTGGATACTCTTAAACATGGTGATGGGTTTTTGCATATGACAATATAATGTAGATAATACTCATCCTGCTTACCTAAATCTGAAGAGTATTTGTGAACAAATTGGCTAATCTGCTGCTTGCCTTCAAATACACGGTTGTTACATTTTACAGTAGATCCTGTATTGTGCTTTCAGAAGTTTTGTTAATAATAAGGTGCTATATCAAATGCAAGATACTATTATAAGTGATATATAAATCTATTTCCCACACTTGCAACAAAATGCTAATAGCACTTGTGATAAATGTTTGCTCTTTTTAGGTCATTAGTGTAAAAGAGAACTATTTTCACTGCAGAGTTGATGAGTGATTTTTATTATTAACTGTTTGTGTATGGAAGCTGATGGTGATCCACTATTAATTGGTGGTATTGCACCAGTTATCACCAGGATTTCAGCAATCTTAATGCACTAGGTTTAAGAATAGGATTTGAGTAGTGCAGCAATGTACATATGAAATGTCATACCATATGGATTTTATTTGTGGGTGGGGGGGAAAATCTTGCAAAATACAAAAGTTGTGTCTGGAGAATTTTTTTTAAAGTATGTAACTGTTAGAAAAGCACCGGCTGCTATAGGTCTCTCACGAGTGCTGTATTTGGGAAAGCAATGTTTTTAAGTTATGTTTGTGAATCGCCACAAAAAAGTGCAGTATAATTGGGAGTGAATGACATTGAAGAGCAGATCATATTGGAGCCCTGATTCTGAAACCGCCTGAGGAGGTGGTTCAACAGTACTTTGGTTCATGCCACTGTTAATGCACCAAGTATCAATTTATTCAGGTGTTTGGATGGCCCAGATGTATTAATGGATTATTTTTAACTAGCTGTATCCGTTGCATCTTCACTTGCAACCAAAGGATACATTATTGGAATGTAGATTGATATACAGACAGACACACAGACAGATAGCACCTTATCACGTCTTTGAGAGGTCTCAAAGCGCTTCACAGAATATGTAAAGTGAATTGATTTTGTATTTTGTGGGTGAAACATGGCAGCCAATTGTACATAGCAGTGTCCAACAAACAGTCATGGATTGAGTGACCAAATTATTATTATTATTAAGAAATTATGCCTGATAATAATCTCTTAAGAAAAAATAATAATAAATAAAAATAATTCTGTCACTCAATCCACGACTTTTTGTTCAACGCTGCTCTGCGCAATTGGCTGCCGCTTTCGCCCACAAATATACAGTCACTATACTTTACAGTATATTCTGTAAAGCGCTTTGAGAAGTCTGGAAGACGTGAGAAGCTCTATATCAAATGCAAGGATTATTATTATTACCCCCGGAAAAGCGATCCGCCAGTCGACTTCCAGCCGGCTTCCTTCTCATTGCTAGGTAAACACAGGAGTGTGGAGTCAGGAAACTTGCCCAACATTTCACCATGCCAGAAATCAAACACAAGGTCCTCTCACTTGAGAGGAGAGTGTTCAAATCACTAAGTTACAGGACTCTCACAATAAATGTTTTGGCACAATACAGTATTCAACCATGTTTGTTAAGTCGATTGGTGGATCGCTTTCTGGGGGTAATAATCCTTTTTTTAAAATAATAATAATTTGGTCACTCAATCCACGACTTTGGGACGCTGCTGTGCAGAATTGACTGCTGTGTTTTGTCCACAAGACTACACAATCCCTACACTTTACAATATATTTTGTGAAGTGCTTTGAGAAGTCTCATAGACAACGCGCTATATCAAATGTGAGGATTATTATTATTGCTAAATTCAGCCAATTTACATTTCTTTATATTGCATTTCCCAACTTGTATTGCACCTTCCATATTGTTGTCACTCAACTCATTTATTTTTTAAAAATTGCCAAAATACTTTTTAAAATTATTTTTCTTGAATATGTCAGAGCAGAACTTATGAATCTTCTTTTAAAATGTACCCCATCCCACCCCCAATTTGTGTTGAGTGCTATGAGACATCCTCCAGACATGATAAGTGCTATATAAATGTAAATTGTATTAGAATGCCCCATAGTAAAATCATAATCACCACAGGTATATATTATTTTGAAAGAAATACTTTATTTTTCTAAATATTATTTGGAAACAATTAGAGTAGATGGAATGAACTATTTTTGCAGTCACATAAACAACAGTGTTGGAGTGTTTTTGTTATAATGTGTATTTTTATAAACATTGAAATTGTCAAAAGTTTGTTAACTGACCAATGAGGTTGTGTGTGACCTTATCCTTTGTTTCTAGTTTGGTTGGAGGTGGATTAGAATTCCCAGGCACGTTCTCTGCAATTTTCCCTTTGCCTTTCTGTCTTCTGCTCAGCATTGGTCAATGTGTGACATACATGCCTGGGATTATAAACTCTGCAATGTGAAGGATGAACAGGCAGCCCAGTAAATTACGTTGCCTGTGTTTAATACAATTCTAATGTATTTGCTATTCTAATGGGAGCACTTGCAGCACACCATATGTAGCAGCTTAGAGAAAGCTATCAGCAAATGCCAACTTTCAGTGAGTTGCAGTAACGAGTCCTCATTTACTTTCTTTTTTATTGTCTCTTTACAACTCACCAGGTGGTCTGCATAAATAATATAAACTTCCAGAGGAAGTCTGTTATAGTAAGTAACTGTTCAATTCATTTACACTTTTTAAACTGCCTCCTTGTCCTCCTCGACCTCTCTGCTGCCTTCGACACTGTCGACCACTCCAACCTCATACAACGCCTCTCCGCTTTACTCAATCTTCACGGACCTGCCCTTGCCTGGTTTGATTCCTATCTCTCTCACCGTCTCCACTTTTGTTGCCTCTAACGATTTCTCCTCCAGCCCCTGCACTGTCATGTCTGGCGTCCCCCAGGGCTCTGTCCTTGGCCCTCTCCTCTTTAATATCTACACGCTCCCCCTTGGTGACATCATCCGCAGACATGGGGTCAACTTCCACATGTATGCGGATGACACCCAACTCTATCTTTCTGCCTCCACCCTCAACTCCAGGACCACTGCTGTCCTGACAGACTGCCTGTCGGACATCAAGTCCTGGATGAGGGCACATTTCCTACAGTTGAACGTGAACAAGACTGAGGCCCTCCTGATTGGCTCGCGCCAGCACCTCTGCACCTCAGGCTCTGGCAACATCAACCTCCATGGTTGCACACTACTACAGCTCACCAAGCCAGTCAGGAACCCAGGTGTCTTGTTTGACCCTCAACTGTCTTTTCTCCCCCACATTCAAGCCATGACCTGCTCTGCCTTCCCTCACCTCCGTAACATCGCCCGACTCCGCCACTACCTCACCCCTTAGGCTGCTGAAGCTCTTGTTCATGCCTTCATCACCTCCAGGCTCAACTATGCAAATGCTCTGCTTGTTGGCCTTCCCAACTCCTCCCTCCGCAGACTGAAGATAATCCAGAACCCTCCTCTTTGACCATGCCATCGGCCACCCACCTTCCCCTCCCCTCCCACACCCCCGACCCCAGCTTGGGTCTGAAATGCTGTATTCTGTCCAGCGCCTTGGGACGTCCTCCCGACATGAAAGGCGCTACACAAATGTAATCTTGTTGTTGTAATGAATAAAGGTAATACTATTTCAGATTCATTAAATAGGACTCATGTTCTGTGTTTGTAGGGTTATGTGGAGTTGACTATATTTCCATCAGTTGCCAACCTCAACAGAATTAAATTGAACAGCAAGCAATGTCGGATTTACAGAGTAAGAGTAAATGATTTAGAAGCTGCTTTCATTTACAATGATCCAACACTCGAAGTCTGCCATCATGAATCAAAGCAGTAAGTATGACCTTGCTCTAACCTGAACCATTTACTTTTTTTCCTATAGTCTCATTATGTCCTCATAAATAATATGATGTCAATCCATAATTTCAAAGCATGGCTCAAAACGTACTTCTTTCACCGTTTGTTAGGTCAACTTTCCACTCCCAAATCCCCTTGGCTGCCACTCCCAGCTTGGGTGCTCATCCAGCATTGTCGAGTGCTTTGCCACATCCTCCCAATGTGAAAGACGCTTTATAAATGTACATTTCACATCTTGGGGTGATAGAAAGAAGGGGAACAAGTTCTCTGAAATGGCTCCAAGAGGTTAATGGTTGAACTGCTTTTGTAAAATAAATAATTTCAAGAATATATTTCCTGCAAACATTTTATGGTAGAAATGATAACTCTTAAAGTTCTGAAATATGCTTAAGGCAAACAATAGTAATCAACAAAGTATAATTTAAGATGGTGCTTAGTGATTGAAAACTAATTGTGGTTATTTTTACCGTTACCTTATTTTCAGCACATGATTTTTATGCGTATTTTAAGCAATGACATATATTGTATAATAGTATTTTGTAAATTCAGCCTTTGGCCTGTGAAATTATAGCATGGTGAGCTGCTTAGCCCAATTTCAGTCATTGCTGGGACATTTGTAAATGGAACTAAAAATGCTCATTGTTATCTCAGTGAAACCCTGTTTCAGTGTTCATTGTTCTTGCCACTTCTCCCACATCTTTGGGGTAAATGGATTGATTGGTTATCCATGATTGTTAATCCTGATACAGGAATCTGTAGTGGGGTGGCATTGATTGGTCATGTATGAGTATGGAGAGAACAGGTGTGTCTGACCAAATGGTCTTTCTTACTACAGCATCTTATCTTTTGATTACCATTAGTGTTTGCATCTTTGACCTGGTTAATTATCAGCTTTAACTGTGGTACCTTCTTTTCAATTTTAGGAGAAATCTAAATTATTTTGCCAATGCCTATACAGCAGCAGTCAGTGCTGTTGACCCAGACACTGGAAATGGAGAACTGTGCATCAAGGTTCCATCTGAACTATGGAAACATGTTGATGGTGAGTGTCTGTTTACTGAGGGCATGCACATATTTTTCGTTAATTTTTCCCTTCTGAAGATTCTTGTGTTTCCTGGGACATAATCCCATGGGTACCAGCAGTGCTTCTACTGAAGTAGTTGTTTCTATAACTGGACAGACAGTAAGTGTCCACAGGCTGCTGAGCCATGGGGGCATTGTAGCCAAGCATGATCTTTTCAGTGACATCATTGCTTGATTATTAGAAATCCTATCCAATTTTTCTCATCTCTTTTGTGTTTTACAGACTTTTCGTTTGGTAATTAACATAGGCATCATGCATTTTACTGATTCTAGTAATAATACCAACTGTTTCAGATACTGAATTTTTATTATCTGACACCTTATTTTTGTGATTTATTCAAGTTGAACTGGTACTACTTATATACACTATTATGCATTTTCCAACCATCTCAATCAATCTTAATTCTAAAATACATATTTTAACAAGTAGTCACTGTATAACTTCAGATTATTGACACGTGTATGTTTGATTGGCAAGTTGAATTTTTTTTAAAAGACAGTAACAGTAAGAGAGTTTTGGCCTGTGCTGTTTCTATTAGATAAACTATATATTTTGTTCCTGTTTGACATCATTAGAGATGAAGGTCTTGAAGGTATATATAGAATTTTCCTTGGACCAGCCAAAGGGAGGTCTCCATTTTGTGGTGCCCGATATGGAAGGCAGCATGGCTGAGAGAGGTGCACATGCCTTCTCCTTTGGCTATGAAAACTGTACAAGGTGAGTAACCTTATTTTTTTTAAAAAAAAGTAATTATCATGAACAAAATTCCTTTTAGATAACATACATTATTTTTTATGTTGGAAGCTACTGTTACTAAAATGCATATTGAACAGTAGGAATTTAGTAACTTTTAATGAGTGATTGAACCTAATAATAATAGTAATCCTTGAATTTGATGTAGTGCCTTATCACACCTTTGAGACGTCTCAAAGCGTTTCGCAGAATATAATGTAAAGTGAATTGACTGTATATTTTGTAGGCGAATCGCGGCAGCCGATTGCACACAGGAGTGTACCACAAACAGTCGTGAATTAAGTGACCAAATTATTTTTTTTGAAGGAATTATTACCCTCGGAAAGCGATCTACCAATCGACTAACAACCGGGGTCCTATTTACTGCTAGGTAAACTGAGACGTGTGGAGTAAGATAACTTGCCTAATTAGGGTTTTGCTCCGCCCACGTTTACAAACTAAAATTTGAATGTTATTTGGCAATCGTATTATTACATGTCAAGCAGCATGTATAGAGACTCTGCGGTGCTATCTCACCATTCACTGACATTAACAATTATCTCGTTATTTCTCATGAAGGTTGCTAGTGTTTGTACTCAGTGGGTAGTTTCCACTAATATAAAAAACTTAAATAGTGTCACTCCCTTCCACTTTGAAATGGGAATGGATATTGCTCAATACTTCTTGATTGATTTGAATTAACTTTCACAACTGCCAAAATTGTGTGTTTGATAAATTATTTTAAAGGATGAAGAATTGGGAGGGGGAGTAAGTAGAGATGTACAATTGTTTTGATTTTTTTTCTTGGTTGCAGGTTCTGGTTTCCCTGTGTTGACTCGTACTCTGAACTGTGCACGTGGAAACTTGAGTTCACAGTTGACGCTGCTATGGTCGCAGTTTCAAATGGAGATTTGGTGGAAACAATTTATACCCATGACATGAGGAAGAAGACTTTCCATTACACTCTGACTATTCCTACAGCAGCTCCAAATATTTCACTAGCAGTTGGTCCCTTTGAAATTCTGGTGGATCCTTACATGCATGAGGTAAATAGACAATGCTAAGAGTTTTAAATTTGGAATGTTTGAAGATCATTTGTAGCTTAATCTTTTATTACAAAACTTAGATTTCTGTAATTTGGAGGCACTGAATGGATTTTTGGATGTGGCATGTTCATAACTGCAAAGGGAGAGGTGCATTCATTAAAACTGTATGATCTATGCCTTGTTTCTTTCTACTTCCCTCACAAAATTAGTGCGAGACAGTCATCTCCTATGTCTATTCAGTGGAACTCTTTCTCAAGACAGTCAGGTTTCTGACCCATTATTAAGCTTAAGAGTACTCAGTTTTTGGTCAACATCTTTTATTCCCCCCCTTTCATGCTCCAAATCACATTTGAACAGATTTTAAGCTAATTTATTTATTCTAATTTATTCTCTGTAAAAGATAATGTAAGTTGTTATATCAGCTATATTTCTGGACTGTATATCAGAAATCAAATATATTTCTGGACATTATGCTATTTTTTAATTATTTTATTCCTAAACTTTTAACTCTTTAAATTTAAAAATAAACATCTTTTTAGGTTGGCTTGAAAATTGTGGAGTCCTGTAGCTCAGTGGTTAGAGCACTCGCCTTGCAAGCGAGACACTTGGGTTCATTTCCAGGCAGGGCGAAATCTTGGGAAAGTTTCCTTACTCCACACGCCCAATAATAATCCCTCCAAAACGAAACAATAATAAATTGGTCATTCTCAATCCACGACTGTTTGTGGGACACTGCTGTGCGCAATTGGCTGCCGCCTTTCGCCCACAAATATACGGCCAATTCACTTTACAGTCTATTCTGTGAAGCGCTTTGAGACGTTGAGAAGACATGAAAAGCGCTATATCAAATGCAAGAATTATTATTATAAAATGTTCCTATTTCAAACCATTTTTTGAAAAACAATTGTTCAATTATTTTCTATTTTTTTCCTCTCCATTGGCATACTTATAGTCCCCATCCTCCCCATGCTGGGGTCTGGTTTCACCGATGTGGCTGGCCATTGTTCAAATCTGAGAATTAGCAGTGCGTGCTCTGGGACGCTACCCCGAGTATAAATACAAGTTGTTGTTGCTGTGTGACGGCAGGCTGCTCAGTTATATTGGGCATCACAGCTGAGCCTACCTCTCATCAACCGGTTTCCACACACGCAATACCAGTAGATGCGGAAGGAGAACTTGGATTTTTAACCTCCCTAACCTAGGAAAAACAAAGGCCATGTTAAGCCTCCCCCCAAAAAAGGCTGGGACCAGAAAATTCAGCACACACCCAGACGAACTAGCCAACTCCTGGTCTGTAATGTGCAGCTACTTCTGCAGCATTGATGGCTGCCCCTGTTTCAGCCTTTTTAATAATGTATTTATATATATTTTTGCTGGGAAATAATACTCCGTTTCACAGAAAATGCGTCCGAGGACATTAATACCTAAATACTTCCTAAAGCTTTGATACGTCTCGACAACGTGATAAAGCACTATTTCAAGTGCAAGGATTATTGTTGTTATTAATAATAAAAATGATTGATTGAGTTGACAGCTAAAACATTGTTGGCATATGGGTCAGTCAAGGGACGTGAGTTGTCTTTTGGAAAATAATTCCTTGCTATTATCAAAAGGTACACATGGGGGCAGCAAAAAACAATGAATAAGGATATTTCAATGCAAATGGGCAGAATTCAACAGAAACTGAATACATTAAATGATATGATAATTACAGGAGGATGCATGCAATAGGATTATCAATGCTGCAAAATTCATTAACCGGTATCCTGCCTTACTTTCATCATAGTTATTTGTATTGTTTCATCTGCCAAAATCAGATTCATAGTATTTGGTTTGGCATTCAGGAATTGGAACTAGGATTTTCAACATAGCAACAACAACTTGCATTTATATAGCACCATTCACGTGTGGCAGCATCTCGGAGCGCTTTGAACCAATGGTATGAACATGTGGGATTTGTGGTGCCTTTTTAAAATCTGTTTGAATTATCCAGCAGCATTTCTGCAACTTAATCAAGAACATAAATAGATCTTTCTTTGTTTCAAAATGCAATGAATTAGGAAATATTTGATAGCTTCTTACACTTCTTTAATTCTTGATATACAATAATAGTTTGCTAGAAATTTATTTTTATTTCTATTTATTGATCTTCTGAAAGAAAGTAAATTTTGAAATTGTAGAAAGCCAGTTCAGTATTCAAAAGGGTTAAAACTGGCCAAACAATAGTCATCCATATATTTGATAGTATACATTGAATTGCCACAAAGGCAGCTTTAAGTGAAATTTAGATTTGAGTACAGCATTGGTAATTTTAATTTAGTATGAAAGTATACTTTTATTCATATAGCCACATTTCTATTTATTTTTGGTTTGTCATTGCTTTCCAGGTAACGCACTTCTGTTTACCCCAGCTGCTTCCTCTCCTCAAACATACCACATCCTTTCTTCATGAGATTTTTGAATTTTATGAGGAGATTTTGACCTGCCGATACCCATATGCCTGTTACAAGACTGTATTTGTTGATGAAGCTTATATAGAAGTTGCTTCCTACGCATCTATGAGTATTTTAAGGTGAATCCATTCTAATGCTTTGCACGGAATTGGTGGCAGATGTAATGGCTATGTATTTCTAAGCAAATATGGCAGCCAATTTGCATGCTTTCAGGGAGCATCTAGCATTTTGCACCATTGGAGTGTGGTAGTGTCCTGGAAGTTGGTTGGTTACTCATGTTTTGGCTCAGGAGGATGCACGCATAGAAGACGACAATAGAAGGAAGAAAAAAAAATTGGAGGAAGGAAACTTATTTAAGCATGAGAGTAAAACGCAGCTGATTGATCATAGTGACTAGTTTGTTCAATACTTTTGTAGAAGAGCTGTTTTAACTCTTTACATAGTAAAATATGATTTGATTTTACTTACTAAATTGACAGTGTATAATGCATTATATTTACGTGTCCATTGTTTTTGTTTGGGTCATCCGGGTGTCTTGACACTCGCGGAAACCCATCACCATGCTTTTAAGAGTATCGAAACCAAGCTGAGATTTCCGTGCAATCCACTTACACATGGAAATCCCAGAGATGAATTGTTGGAATGGAATGCGCACTCTCCCTAGAGGGATGCATCCTGCTTACCCAATTCCAGAAAGTATTAGGCAAAGGTTGGCAAGAGCCAAAGTTTTGGGACTCTAGAGTGTGTGTTGGGGTACTGCTAGAGTCTAACCAGTTAAAATCAAATAGCTTGCCATTGATATTGCTGTCTGGCAAGCTTTCCCACTGCATGTCCAGCTAGGACCGCCCTACCCGTTAGGGCTTTAGCTTGCAGAGTTAACAGAAGCTGAGTGGGATAACTCCATGCCCCAGTGACTGGTCTGCCCATCCAGGTCCTGATGATGAGCGAAGCTGGCTGTGCTGTCATCAGCAGTGCCCTGGAATACTGCGGACCTGCCTGATCAGGAATAGGCCTACCGAGACTGCCACAGAGGGCTGGCTCGATTCCGACATTCCATTGCAAGGCATATCACCTTGTAGCCAGTTCAGTTTCAAGGAGACCCCGCTTACCTCCTTCCTCCCCCAAGGAGGATAATCACACATGTTCATCGAAAGGGATATGTGCACATTGCCGTTTCTTTTTATTTGTAGTCTATAGTAGCTTATCAGTCCCAATGTGTTTATTATTTCCTAAAAATTGTAGTTCTTTGAAAACATTGAATTTACAAACAGCTCTAGATAGTCATCGCGACTGCTGTGCATTGGGAGTGTAATGCCTGAATAGGAAAGGTTGGCGAACTTCAAGCCAGTGATATCAGTTGATAAAATACAAAGCCAGTCTTGTTAAAAATTCAAACTTAATTTCTGTCACCTTTAGCCACAGTATTTGTTATGTCTAGGTAAAATGTCTGTTGCTTGCCTGAAACCTTAGCTTCTATTTTCTCATCTTTCGTTCAGCACAAACCTCCTGCACAGTGCCATGATTATAGATCAGACGCCGCTTACCAGACGCTGTTTAGCACAAGCTTTGGCTCAGCAGTTCTTTGGCTGCTTTATTTCCAGAATGTCGTGGTGAGTAAATAAAATAGAGAAGTAAAAGACCCACAGCTTACTGAATTTGTCCCATAAATGGAGTTTTGCAATGATTGCTTTAACACAAACTGGACACTGCAATGTTTGAGAAAATTAGGATTAAAAAATATTTTACAAAATAAGCCTTATTTTAATCCAGTTACCTGTTATAAGTTATGCAGATGAAGATTTTTGTCCCACAACCATTGATATTTAATTTTTTTAATATACAATACACCGAATTCTACTATGTTTTTTGGAAGACATATATCTTTGGTTTTGCATCTTTCATGATGGATTCGTTTTTGAAAATAAATTTTTGAAAATTATTCAACTGTCCAATTCTATCATACTAATAATTCTTGCATTTGAAATGCAAATCCAAATTCAATGACTTCATAGTTTAGTATTTTTATTCAAATTCGAAAAAAGAAGGGACCAACAGTACAAAATTTTTTTTGAAATCCCGACTCTTTGTGGGACATTGCTGAGTGCAATTTGAAATTAGAACGCAATTTACACTCAGACTGTTTCAGAAACAGTCAGGATTTTTAAAAAAATGTTGTGCTGTTGGTCCCTTCTTCTAATAGTACCATGGGATTTTTAATATAACAGGCCAGATTGCATGCTTTTGGTTGAACATCTATGGCACTCTAACATTGCAACACTCTCACAGCATTGCTTTGCATTGCGAGAGCTAAGCCTAGACTATGAACGCAGGCATGATATGAGATTAAGATTAACAAAAGGGCCCTTCAGCCCATTTGACATCATCTATCCAGAATACTAGACCTACTGACTTCTCATTATAACATCAAAGTTTTTCTGAAAGGATCCATTTTCATGGCTACTACCACCCTTCGGTAATTCATTCCAGTTGTTGTTCACTCTACGTGAAAATAAATATTTTCTGGTTACCTCTTGGCCTGTGATGGACTTCTGACCGAAATCTGATCATTTCTCCCACATGCTTTTTGAATATTTATGCAGTTACTGAATTTTGATCAGGAACATTATACTTTCTGGTTGATTTTGTTTCCTCTTTCCTTTTTGCGCCCATTCCCCAAGTTGTTGGGATCAATTGTGATTCCTCCACTGCCACACTGGTTGATATTGTTTAATTTAATCCAATCAGAGTTTAAACCAGGACCTTCTCATGGCATATTTACCTATTGGGGTGTTTGGAGTCTCCTGAGATGAGCATGGCTTTTGACCAGCAGCTGGTTGCCTGCTGACATCATTTGAGTGACTTTTTATAACCTTGAAACCCAGCATGCCAGGTCTTCAGCAGGCCGGTGATGAACAGAGAAAAACAAGTTTTGTATAACTAGGGGAGTACATTTTGTGTGTGGGAAGCAGTTGATAGTCTTCCAATAATATTTGCCCCTAATTTGGTTCCTTTACCATGCCAAACACGAGCATGATTGAGGTGACAATCCATTATAAAAAACAGGGTTGCCGATTTTCTTCCTTGTAATTTTCCTTTTTTTAAACCGATCCCCACTATGACAACATATACCTAGGCATTTATCACAAATAGAGGAAGGAGAGATTGGTGACAGAAAGTATAGTTTGGTTCCTGTTGGCATTATAATTATTGTAAATTTAGTGGTTGATAATCACTAGTCAGTTACTCTGTTAGAAATTGCTTCTGTATACAGTGAGTAGCCTGCTAACACTCTAGGCCAGTGGTAGCCAACCTGTGGGCCAAGAAGAAGCCCCACCGAACATTTGCATGAGTAGCTAAGTCGATCGATAGTGTGCTTTAATTTTTTTTCTTGATTTATAGCATAAATCAAGAAATATTCAATCAAGAACATTTATTTTGTTGGTTGACCTAAAAGTTGTCCACCACTCGTCTAGGCTCACACATGAAGAGTTGCCACTTGGATGAAGTACCAGATGGATGGTGCACATAGAACTATATCCCTGTGTGAGTCGATACCTTCAGAGGGGAAGGGGAGGGAGGAAAGAAACATTAGGTCCATCTGCTAAAGTAAGATTGTTATCTGTGACTAATTGCAGTCCAGGGCCAGTTTCCCTTTGAACATACATCTGGTTGCAGATGCCATAATGTAGAAAACATTCACAGTTTGAAACTGCATTTAAGTTCAATGCTCAAAGGGTTAATGGAAATGCAACAAAGAGCTTGTTGTGCAACTGATAAACTGTGTGTGTGTTTTATATTAAAGATAAAATGACATAAGGAAATCATTTAAAGATTATATTCCTTGGTGGTGTAGCCAATCTCAGTATGGAATCATTTATATGGTTTGCAGCATGCCAAGTCAAATCAAGCATAGACCAAAAGAGTTTAAAAAAAACAGTTCTACTTTTTATTGCTTATTGGAACCCACAAGTACCTATAATGTATTATATAAAGCACCACTCACTGTACTGTATTAAAAACAAGGAGCTGCATTTGGGACCATGTCTTCATAGCCCCACTCACTATCATACATTAATTCAAATGGTGCGGAGTAGTAAGAGAGGACTTACTGTAAAACGGGTTCTGAATTACAACTTTTCGAGCTCCCGAAGTTCTTATGTTACAAACACTTTCTTCTTTTCCTATCCAAATATTTTCTTTTTAAATGTCACTGGGAAAGTAGAAAATAAAATATTTTTCTTGGACTACTTATTTTTATTTTTTTGAGCAATGCTTTTCCAACTTTGCTGCTTGCAGGTCAGATGAGTGGGTGTTGAAAGGGATCTCGGGATACATTTATGGCCTTTGGATGAAGAAGACCTTTGGTGTGAATGAGTATAGGCACTGGATCAAAGAGGTACATTAAAAGTAACAACTAAAGATAGAAGTGTTAGATGACCAATACTGATAACTAGTGTTGCATTATAAATCAGGTCATTTCGCTCACCAGAAGCCTTGTTAAATATGAATAAAGCCACTGGTAGATACATAGAACTTTTACTTATAATATTTTGTTTGAATGTAACATATTTTGTGTTTGTAATCATTTTAATCCACATTTACATTTGAAGTGTTACAACTGATTGCAGTTAATTATTTATGTTATGGTTTTATATATTCTCAAACTTCAAATGATTAATAGAAGGTTAGATTGCTAAACTCTTTAAATCTGTCTTCTGATGATAAGTGGAACAGACATACATAGTTAGATTTTTATTAAAATTGGATCATTCCTAATATTTTCGGATGCAGCACTCATGTATGCCTTATGGTCATGACATAAGGATTTATCTCTGAATGAATTGGATATATCATTGGTTTAATGTCAATGTATAAATTCAATTCTGGATTTGAAAGTTATTGCAGTGTGGTTTAATAAAGTCTACATTGCCTAGCAAACAAAAAATAGACAATATTTTTATATATTGATGGTTGCATAGGAATGTATGTGAGAAGGGTTAACGTTTGAAATGGTATTCTCTGAATACTGTGCAAAATAATTTGCTTATTGACTTTTAAAAAGTTGTCATTCTTGGGACTTTTCTTGAACTTTGTAATTACTTGCCAGCAAATGAGATTTTGGAATTCCTATGATTGCTGTCTAAATGCACTAGGAATTGCATAGGCTAAGCTAACACTCCATTGCAGTGCGGGAAGGTGAGGTGTTGCATTGTTGGAGTTGCCACCCTTCAGATGAGATGTTAAACCAACATCTGGTCTGTCTGTTCAAGTAGACGTTAAAGATCCTATGACACTATTCGAAAAGAGAAGGGAGTTTCTGCCAGTGCCCTGGCCAACAACAATAACAAATTACATTTGTTCTCATCGGAAAGAGTCCCAACAATCCCCCAAGTATAATTAGTCACTCACTCCATGGCAGTTTGTGGAACGATGCGGTGCCCATCCGTTTGCCATATTACGCCCACAAAATCCACACAAAACCACTTTACAGTATATCCTGTGAAGCACTTTGAGACCTCTCGATAAGGTGCTATATCAAATGCATTGATTATTATTATGTATTGAGTTAATATTTATTTCCTGTTGGATGACTTAACATATTTTACAAATTATATATTATTAATCAATATGAAATGTTTAATTTTTTTGTTGGAAATAAAGTGCTCTGAAAGATAATTCTAGGAACAAGTAATGGTTTTGTGGGGCAATATTGATGGGCTCAGTGACCCCCTCCTGTTTTCTCTTGAAATGCTTTACGGGTAAATCCATTTTGTAACATTTCTGTTGCATAATGTGCTTCTTTTGAAAATTGGATGTTAAAAGTGAAGAAGTGTACTACGTTTCACCTTGAAAAAAGTAAACATTCTGTTGCTAGTATGATCTGTGTATGTATCTTGCAGGAACTGGACAGAATAGTCGAATATGAATTGAGAACCGGTGGCGTTTTACTGCATCCCACGTTGACTGGGGTGAAAGAAAAAGAAATGTAAGCAAGCTCATGTTTATTTGTAATTCTCTGATCTGAAAGATTTCAGGAAGGTTTTTTTTTCTGTTTGCTCTTTCCTTGAATATAGTTGCAACGGTCCAGTCTGGTAGATGTTTGCAGTGCCTAATGGGCTCCGTACGGAACATACAATTCAATTAACTGTAATGTTCTGAGATCCAAACGTAGTTGACTGGTGCCATGTGTAGATGGGGGTCAAAATTACAGTATTCCAAAATGCATTCTCTTCCTTGTTAAAATATGTTTTTTAATATCTCCCATTTCAGAATAATGGCCGTGCCCATTACTGACTGAAAATGCTCAGTATTGTCACTGCTTTTAAAGTGAGAGCAAATTTCAGTTGCCGTTTTAGAACATATCGATTTATATTGTTTTCTTGTATTTTTGTGCAGCAAGGCCTAGTAAGATAGATGATGACTCTTGACAGACTTAATTTCCAGAGACAACGGCCGCAAAGATAGCACTGATTAGATTTAGATTCTTTTAAATCTTTTTAAGCACAGCACCTGCCACTGAAGGTTTCAATCTTGCATTGTAGCATTTCCAAATAGCTTGCAGGATTATCATTTAACTAAATTTGTATTATAGAGATTGCACATGAACATCTGCTTGTGTTTTGAAAGCAGCAGCTTTTTTGAGCAGCAATCCAAGATGGTGGCTTCAAGCATTTTTAAGTTGGTTTGGGGCACTCTTCATAGGGACTTTTCAAAACACATTTTAATGCTGTTCCTTAAAAAGAAATACCGCAATTTTGACCCCAATATTTGCAGTTGCTTTGGTCTGTTTGTATTATTTACTAGTTACTTTCAATTTCTACTGCCCAAAATGTACAAAGAACCCTTTTCACAATGTTTATTGACTTTAAACCACTTTACATTTTGTGATTTTTAACTCTGTTTTTTGTATTAGTCACTTGGAACTAGCAATCTTTAAGCCTTCTGTCTCTACATCTTCAATTGTTTTCCCTTTCCTCCTCCCTGAGAGTGGTGACATACTTAGTTTGGTTCTATGGGCATTGAAAGACCTCTAGACGTGACTAGATCATGTGTTAATCTAGCCAGTAAGTCAGCCTATTTGACTGAGAGTCATTATGACTGAGCCAGATCCTGTCATCATCATTCAGTGTCCACCAAAAGGCACTTTCAGGCAAGAGCCACATAGCTTATTAGGAGGTGCAACTCTGATTCTCTTCTCCCTCACTTCTTCCCTAACCACACCCCCTCCTTGGATATTGAGGTTAATTGTGCTGCTGCCACCGCTATCCTGACTAAGATTATATTCTGGTAAATTGAACTTGGAACCTTCATGATCTGTACAGCTCAGTATCCTATCATGTCGTCTACTCACCGAAGACATATTTAATTGATAACTGTTTAAAATTCAATTGAATTAACATCAAAAGTACGTTGATCGATGATTATATGTACAGCTGAACTGTAGGATGTATTGAATCCAGACAGCTACGGGTATGTAATATTAACAAACAGGCAGCCCCAATACTGTAGTTTGCTGGTTTGAATCTCAGTTTATGCTGAGTCTGGGGATCTCAGCTGGGGCTATGTGGGTAATCTAGATTGTCCTCAGCTTTCCCAGATTTAGGGAGCAGAAAATCAGACAGGATTCTTGATCCTTGCCCCTTTTCAGGACCCTCTACTGATAATGTGCATGTATGACAAGGAGAGGTCATGGTTGCCGGTGACATTCTCTGCATCAAATGGCTTGCCAACATTCACGGTCAAGATTCACACATGAACAGTGGTGCGGGGTACTGGAGGGCAAGCAGTTACTAGTGGAATTGCACCCCAACATGAGGAGGCTGGGGACCAGGAATAGAGACGAATGGGGAAGAAATTCATAACTCATCACTCCGAGGAAAAAGGTCTTGGTGACGAGTTATCCGGAGTGGTGAGTTAGGCATATATAAAGACGTAAATTAATGCGGCCGGGATATTGACAGCAGGATGGTAGTGACAAGTGGTATTTACTTATTGTGTGGTAGTGACAAGTATTTAGTTATTTGATATCTCTACCCCCTCCCCACCACCCCACACACACACACGTTCTTGTGTATCATTTATCATCCGCATGTTAAACTTTCTTCTTCAAATCAATAATTTTTTCATTTTAAAATGCACAGAAAGTTATGTTTGTAACCAGGATCAAGTTATCAGAGCTTACTGTAATTGGACACCATTTTTTTTTAAATTAAGACTTTTGTCTGTTCTTCAGCAATAGTAAATGAACCTGTTGTACCAATGATATTTAAATTTTTCTAAAACTCTTTACAGGCCTGCTGCAAATCTGCACTTTTCAATCCGGCATCCTCATACAATGTCCTGGAGGTATTACAAGATGTTTCAATGTAAAGCCCACCTGGTGCTGCGACTCATTGAGAACAGGATCAGTATGGAATTTATGCTGCAGGTATATAAAGGTAGTGGGGGAAGAGTTGGGCATGTTCTGTTTTCCGCATGTAATTATTTGTGTCCTGTTTTCTATACATGATACAGTATTTAGTTATTTGATATCTCTGCCCCCCCGTCCCCCCCCACTACACACACACATTTCCAAACTTGGTAAAATGTTTAATTGGCAGATTTCGCGGGCTAATGGATTTTTCATTCATAGAAACTGTGAGGATTTAGAGCCTGGCTGATGTTGGAGCGTTCTGCAAGTGCCAGCTATCTTCTTTGTATGAATAAGATATTGCCTTAATGATCTGCTTCTGAGCGGTGTTTTTGTGTGCCATTTATCTTCATGTTAAACTTTCTTCTTCAAATCAATAACTTTTTAATTTTAAAATACTCAGAAAGTTCTGTTTCTCACTTGTTGAGGAAGTTGTACTTTTGAAGTTGAAATTTCGGTGTTATCTGTTGGCAGTTAATGTGGTGCCTCTTGAAAATCTTCTCAATCATCTATAAGATAGCAAAATAAGCAATATAAGCACACCTTAAATTTCAGTCTCTTAGAATAGTTCTTATGCAGCATAAGTGGAGGGTCGGAGGGTAACTGAAGACGTGGTCAAAGAGGAGGGTCTTGAGACATACCTTGAAGGAGGCAAGGGAGGGAGCCAGGTGAATGGACTATTGGATGGAGTTCCAAAGGGTGTGGCAGGGAGGCTGAAGGCTGGATCGCCGATGGTCAGGCAGAAAGGGAAGGGGACGTGGAGAAGGCTGGAGCCTGCTAAGCGGAGGGAGAGGACAGCAGGGTGCCAGTGGGTAGCAATTGGAAGTTTTAAACTTTTCCCTCCTGCTGGAAACAGAATAAGCTCATGAATTAGGAATTGTTACAATGTTTTCTTCTCTACCTCCCCACCCTTCCTCCCCCCCCCCATCGCTAGTTATTTGTTTTGTCAGCAAAGATGAAGGAACATAGGAAAAAATGGATGGGAATCGGTTAATCTCACTGAAGCTTATCCCTACATCTTGGCATTTCATTGATTTTGAATAACACCAATGTTCTTATCATTATTACTTTGTTTGTTGAATTCCAAATATTTATCGCTCTTTAATCAAAAGATGTTTTCCTGCTTTTTATTCTCAACTTTCATTTTCACTGTTTTCTATTTATCTTGCTTTCTTTGTTTTGCTTTGAAACAATATACTAAGTTTACCTTATCTAAGCCTTTGAATGGTTTGTATACATTCACCTTTTTAAAAAATATTTCTCGCAGTGTACAAAGTAGGTCTTTTTAAATTACCATTTTGCTTGGTGAAAGCTGACTCATATTAACCCGATGGAGAAGACTGTTGGGTGGTGGGAGAATGAACTGTAGACACCCCTCTAATAAAGCTTATAAAGTGCTCAAAACTTGAATGCGTAACAAATCCAATATATGTTCTTTTTACTGATTTAGGTCTTCAACAAGCTGTTGAGTTTAGCCAGCACTGCATCATCCCAGAAGTTCCAGTCTCACATGTGGAGTCAGATGCTGCTGTCAACAAGTGGCTTTTTGAAATCCATCTCTAATGTGTCTGGAAAAGATATCCAACCTTTAATAAAACAGTGGGTGTATCCTTTGAGTTTTTAAATTCTTTTATTATTTCAACAAAATACATTCTTGTTCGTTTATACTGTTCAGAACTTTAGTTCTGCACTGCATGTCTATCCTTTGGCTTCACAGTACAAACAATTTCATTTGTTCCAGATACCTCTGCAAAATACAAACCCAGGTTCTTCCCTCAGCTCAATTAAATATTTGTGAGTTGTAAAGCCTATGTCATCAATGCAACAGTTGGTACCACATTAAAAAACTCTTTTAGCTTTTCATGTTTTGATATAGAAGTGGTAGAATTCAGTTGCAATGCTAAATCGATGAAAATACCTTAATTATACACAATAGTGACCAGAGTAGCGTTGTGAAGTTCTTCGGCAGCTTCGCATTTAATAGGAAAAGAAACATTTTGGAGTTGGAACTGAAGCAAGATTACACATCGTTGGGCACCCAGAAATATGTGGTAAGGTTATTTCACAATGCATTATTGTTGGAAGGAGTGATACAGTTTAGGATTTTTTATCCAAAAAATTATGTATCTTTTCAGAATTGGGGAAAAAGTCATTGTTAATAACCTTGGCAAATACTTTTCCGCACTTTATTTTTTTGCTGACAGAACAGTAAAAGTAAATCATTTGTCATTACAGTTTTGCACTGTCTGTCTGAATTCTCATTTGTTTTTGTATTTTGGGGGAGAGAGATTCTAAATTTATAAGATAACTAACTGTCCCCGTTGCAGTTTTGTTTGCAACCAAAGGATCCAATATGGAATGTAGATTAACACACAGACAGACATTTTGTCTTTATCTGTACTCACCTGGGAGGACTCCTGTGGGAGGACTCAGTGGGAGGACTCGATACTTTAAAACTGTAATTTTCTTATTGCCGCGGCTTAGCTTCGTCTGTGTTCTTTATTTTGTTCCTGCCGCCGCTTGGCTATGTGCGTGCTCTGTGACGCACATAGCCACAGCGTCACAGTCAGCCAACGCAGCCACCAGGAGTAATTGCAGTGCGTGCGTACATACATGCTCTGTGATGCACGATGCCAAAGCGCCACTTTGACTCGGCAATCACCGGGTGCAGCAAAAAACGCAAAACTGAAAATAACTCAAGAACGATAGGAGATACCTGAAAAAAATATGCCCGTGTCACTCCTAGATGCAAGATCTTTCCGATGAGGTATGAATCATGTCTGCATCAATCGGTTATTGAGATCCTTCTTGAAGCACAGACAGAAATTATATAGATATATGTAGATTTGCTGTCTTATTTCAGGCAGTACAACCATCTCATAGATGACACATCAAGCCTTTAAAAAACACTAACATCCCACCCAGTAAGTGTTGCCATCCAGTGGGCAATGGTGGGCATAATAGAGTTTCAATTGACAGAACACTTGCACATGAAGCTACTGCTCTGTTGCAGTTTTGCAAAGATAGTTTTGGCACCAGATTAAGACTTGTGGTTCAAAAAAGTGTTTTGTTTGACTGAGTGGGAAACCAGATAGGTAAAATGGGTGAGAATTAGTTTTTCACAATACAAAATTCAGCAGTTTATTGGTTAAAATTGGTATGTAAACTTAGATTTGTAGATTATTTGAACATTATAAGCAAGTACATTTTAGTAGTGATCATTTATAAATACAAAGTTTATTTTGTTTTAGAAGGGTGTTGTATTTTTTTAAACAATCACCTATAACAATGATAGCAGTGATGCTGCTGCAGTACAATCTTAAGCTTTGTAACCAATTTGAAGTTCGAGACTGTTGAACGATGCACATTCCTACTCGTTTTCCAGCTGGATCTCCAGAGTTTACTGCAACAATTACATGCTTAGAAGTAATGCTCAGTCATTTGAAACAAATACAATCAGATTCTTTAACAAATATATTAAAGGAATGAATTTCTCAGATTGTTCAACATAGGTGCTATATATAGAAATCCTAAAGTATTCCCCTTTAAATATGTGAGTTTTGAAATTATGTATAACATTCTGAAAAAGTCCTTTAACTTTTTCCAGGGACCACTGAAAGTGACAGTTCAAGAACTGGATGGGTCATTTAATCACACTCTGCAAATTGAGGAGAACAGCTTAAAACACGATATTCCTTGCCACTCCAAGAGCAGACGGTAAGATCACATTACCCCAAAGAAATAATCTCAAACATTTTGTCCCAATAAAAATAAACTTAAAATTGTTTCACACTGTATATGAGATTGTTTTCTTCTTGTTTTGTCAGATACCAGCAAAATGAGAACTTGTAAGATGTTATAATAATAATAAACCTTGCATTTGATATAGCGCTTGTCACGTCTTCTCAAAGCGCTTCACAGAATATGCTTAAAGTGAATTGACTGTATATTTGTGGGCGAAACACGGCAGCCAATTGCGCACAGCAGTTTCCCACAAACAGTCGTGGATTGAAAATGACCAATTTATTTTTGTTTGGAGGGATTATTATTAGGCGTGTGGAGTAAGGAAACTTGCCCAAGGTTTCGCCCTGCCTGGAATTGAACTCGGGTCTCTCGCTTGCAAAGCGAGTGCTCTAACCACTGAGCTACAGGACTCCACGGTAGGCGGTATATCGGATGCAAGCAAGGATTGTTAAGAATTAGTATTATTATATGTTCATAACCCTAAAGAAACAAAAATTTTCTGCTCATTAATTATTTTACATGATGCAAAACTGATATTACAATCCACAATGTAGTGCTTTAAGCCTCTTGTAATCAACAGTTTATTGTCACTTGAGTCTCAAGGTCCATAATCCCCAAAGATAATCCTGAGCAGTGACAATACGATTGTATTGACAAGCTCTTTAAACCTGAAAAAAATACTGGCATGAATTTTGAGAATGTTTTGACAGAAATGTTATTTTGAAATATAATTCCCTAATGCAGGTCTATTTTATTGTTTTGTTAAAAATGGATGTCTTTTTTCCCATTCAGAAATAAGAAAAAGAAGATCCCACTGTTGAATGGGGAAGAAGTGGACATGGATCTTTCTGCAATGGAGTAGGTCTTTTTTTGTCATTCTAAAGTAATTATATTCAGGACAATTTTAATAGCGACTTTGATTTTGAGAGAAAATTGTAAATTTCTTCTCATGAGTTTCTCCCCTGAATTCCTTTGGTTCTTTCCTGAAACCTTTTTTTAAGCTCCTATTTTCTTTTCACTGGGATGCGGTCCCAAGAGCATGAGCTGTTCTCTGGTACCTCGGCCTAAGTGAGTTTGAGTGGTCATGTAAGTTTTGACAGTCTATTCAATCATGAGAGAATCAGAGCCCAATATAATCCTGTCCTTACCTAACTTTTTCAGATGTACACCTTCCAGCAGGGGTCTCTGAATAGTTATCAGGAGCTGAACTTTAAAGCAGTGTGAATGAAGCTAATTGTAGCACCGCAAATACTCTGACCACGATGAGCTAATTTAGCACAGATTGGGATTTAAACCTACAACCTTCTGATTTGTACAGATAGTCTATCACGAGGCAGTACATTTACCTACAAAGCCATTGAAGTAGCTGAGTATTTATTTTAATCAAATTGCATACCATCTCGACAAATATGCTGATGTGTCACAGATAGTTGAATTCTACAAAATATATGATTATGCGCCTCGTGTATTTATAGTGCTGATTCTCCATTGCTGTGGATAAGGATCGACCCAGACATGTCTGTTTTGAGAAAGGTGGAATTTGAGCAGGCTGATTTCATGTGGCAGTACCAGCTCCGCTATGAAAGGGATGTAGTTGCACAGGAAGAATCGATTTCTGCGTTAGCAAAGTTTCCTACTCCAGCATCTCGTCTAGCTCTAACTGATATTTTGGAACAAGAACAGTGTTTCTACAAAGTCCGAATGGGAGCTTGCTTTCGTCTGGCAAAGGTGAGAACTGATGGATTTTGTAATATGTTAGATAAATGTGTAATTTGCTCAGATCATTGCTAAAATCTGTTGAGTCCAAAAACTAAACCCCACCATAGATTTTATCCATAGCACTTAGAGATTAATTGGTAATTCATTTTATGCTTTGTGAGTCTTTACTGACTTTAAAATTTAATTATTGTGACATTTTAAAACATTGCTTCCCTACCCTGAAAAGTCAGGGTCAAAGGAAAAACCATGAATGCTAGGAATCTGAATTATTGGATGAAATGCTGGAAATGTGCAGCATTTGAAACGGAAAGCTGAGTTAATGTTTCAAACACAGTACATCAACTGAAACTAGAAATTAGGTTAATCGAACTCTAATAAATATTCAGATTTTTTAGGAGTAAAATATTCCAATGCAAATTATAGAACATATACAAAATATAATATATGGCTTGAGGCGAGGAACATGATGCTTATTTTAACCTAAATTTATTGTAGATTTATCAATGAATTTTCAACAGATTTTCTAGTTTGTGAATAATACACCAGGGTAAGAAACAAAGCAAATAATGTGGAAAATGTAATTAGTTTCGGAAGAAATTGGATCTTTTGGGTAGCTGGGCTGTTAGGTAGCATATATTTGAAGGAAATAAAGATTTTGTACAGTATGCTGATCAGGAAATAGTTGGGAATCTTTTTGGATAAATAGATAGTCCGCTAGTGTTTTATGGCAATGGAAAAAAGCTAATAAAGTACTAGGGTGCATTAGCAAAAAGCAAGAGTGCAAATGCTAAGAGCTCATCTTAGTGTCGAGCAAGACATCATTGAGTCCTTTTCTCTTTTTGTTTTTCTCATTTTAGGAAGGATTATGTGGTTTTAATTGTGCCAGTTCTTAATGGGAGTCATTAACCACATGTAGGGCACTCTGACCCGCAGGAACTCTGGTCCAAAGTGACCTGCTTTTAGAGTGGTATTCCTACGGGTTGGAAGAACTCTCTTCCAGTTGCTGGAAGAAGATTTTGTTTGCCACTTGGGAGGCTTGTTAAAAACAAATAAGGGCACATGGTATTAATGAAAAGGTAGCAACATGGATAGAAAGTTGGTGGGTGATAGAACAGAAGGTGGGAGTGCATGGTTGTTATTCACAATTGAAAGATGTAAATAGTGGTGTCCCCCAGTGGACAGTGTTAGGACCATTGCTTTTCTTCATTTATAATCAATGATTTAGATTCTGGTATAAGGCGTAAAAAATTTAAGAAGCCAGATGACACGGAATAGGGAGTATATCTAACAATTGAGAAGATTGTAAGCAACTTCAAGGGGACATAGACAGATTAATTGATTGGGAGAGAAATGGCATATTTAATGCAGACAAATGTGATAGTTAAACATTTTGAGAGGAAGATTAAGGAGAGCAAGTGTGCATTGGATGTGTATACAAGAACTGAAGAATACAAGTTACGTATTCATCTGCTCCATCATTATTCAAAAGTATGCGTTAATAATCTATTAAAAAGTAACCAAAGTCTATTTGAACACTGTAGTATCTCACAAGTACTATTTCCTCATGTTTAGAACTGTATAATTGCAGATTGCAAATTCCATGGTGAGCACTTGGACAGGGCCACCAGCCATGAAGTCGCTGTTCACTCGCATGTTCTGCTGCAAGAGTTGTACAAATATCGTCAAGACCAACAATTTCATGAACTTTCAAAGCTACTTTCTGCAGAAGGTAAGATCTATTTTTAAAAATAATAAAATCTTGATACGCTGTGAATTTTTTTTATGTGAGTTAGCTTAGTTAATGAAGGACTCCAATACTCCTTGTTAAATTAAGTTGACAACAAACATAATTAATATTTGGCATATTTCACTATACACTGAGAGATGCAGTCCAATGAGCCAGAATTTCCGGCTAAGTGTAATTGTAATTCTGATACTGGGATTTACCAGCATTTTTTGACAAATGTTGCCACGAACATTGTAATTGTTTGAATCCTGTGAGCAGCAGATTCATACTGAGTCAAAGTTGACACCTGGCCACTGAAAGCCAGCAAGCTAAGTGAGAGTGGGCTGGGGAGTCTGCACGTGGCCTGCAGAAATGTTAAAAAAAATTCCCTTAACTCTCCCACTTTTTCTGACCCGTCTTTTTCATGCCTACCATTCATGTCGGCTTTCCCCCTTTTTAATTACTCGTTGTTAGTTTGTGTGTGTTTATGTGTGTGTCTCTCTCTCTCTCTCTCTCTGAATTTAAAATGTTCTCTTTCATCTTTTTTCTCTTTTCCTTCTCATTTTCTCTGTTGCCCTCATCTTTCCCTGGCTGCTCTGTCTCCCTTTTTTTGCATTATGTTGAAAAAGAATTTCAAGCCAATTTTTTTATTTTTATTTCAAATGTTCTGTGTTTGTCCTTTCTCTTGTTTGGGGTCACTGCACATTATTCCCCAATGAGAGAAGGCTGCCAAACCCTTCCTTTGGGATAAGTGAAAATGAAGTAGCAAAATGGATGACCAGGTTTAATGGATCATTTGGCTCCTACGTTTCTTTGCAAATTCTGGTCTGTCTCCAACTGATTCAAACTCCTCTGCCTCTATCCTCACCCATACCAAACTCTGCACTTCCATCATTCCGGTCTTGCCAGGCTCCATTGGCTCCCTTTGCAGAATGGATCTATTTTTCAAGATGCTCAGATTTGCCTACAAATGTCTTAATACCCTAGCACCTCCCAACCTCTTCAACCTTCTCACTACTCACTATTTACTCGCCCCGATTGCTGGGCTTTCTATGTCTCACTCAAACCCTCTGCTCCACCATCGGCTGCCGTGTCTTCAGCCACCACACTCTGAACCTCTTGAATTCTCTGCCTCAATCCCTTCTTCTTGTCCCCTCTCACATATCTTCAGATCCCACCTTTCCACTTCCACTGTGTCCTTGGTCACCTCCCCTTTTTCCCTGGCTCGACGTCAAATTAAGCCATTATCAGCACTCCTTGAATCTAAAACCACATGAAGGGTGCTATATAAATGTAACTCTTGCTGTTGTATACAGGTTCAGGGAGGTGTGCAATGGTAGACTATGTTTAAGCCTCAAATTACTCAACTTTTATCACAATGGTTTTTTTTCACACAAGTGGCTAGGTACAAATTAACTGTGCATGCTTTTAAATCTTTTTTTAAAAAAAAGCTGTAGTTGGTTATGAGATGGGTTGAATTACTGTATTTGAATTGTAAAGAAACTGGAAGAAATAACATATATTCTATAATTGTGTGCACACACAATAAAGAATACCAATTATGACTTGTATTTTAGTTCTTTATTAAACCTACTGTGTTACTTTTTCTGCCCACTCGTGGGTATCCCTTCCTTGTGCCATATAAACTGAGTTGACCTGTTTCCCAACCCTTTAACTTTTCCAAGAGGCTGTAGGAGTGTAGACTAGATGGAATTTAATGTTTTAATAAATGTTTTATATCTATAGAATATATATAAATATAATTAACTTTCTCTACATTTCTATCTCTTTCTCTGCCCCTTTTTTCTCTTGTCCACCACTTCTCTGTCTACCTTCCCATTCTCATTATTGACCAGGTCCCGCTCCCTCTTTTTCCTTCACATTCTTTCTCTTTTTTTCTGAGAGACTTCCTCCTTTAGGAAGCTCAAATCATGTGAATATGGAGAGGAACTGGGGCCAGCCTGGATTCTTTAGTCTCTTTTATTACTTTAAATTTTCTTTTAGTGTTCTATCATAGACTCCTCCCCAAGAAAGATTTTTTAAATTACAATTGCCATGCGTTCTGAATCCTGACTATAGGCACAAAGAAATGTTCATAGTTCATAATTAATGAGATGTCAGAAAACATATAATATATTATTAAAGTTAATCAATAGACTTTACCTATTTTTCACATATATATAGTTTCGCCCACAAATATACAGTCAATTCACTTTACAGTCTATTCTGTGAAGCACTTTGAGACGTCTAGAAGATGTGAAAAGCGCTATTTCAAATGCAAAGATTATTATTATATTTTTCCACAGACTATGCCAGTTGCAATGGCATTGCTGAGGGATGTCCATAACCAGTGTCCTAAAGAAGTGCTGGCCTTTATTTTGGATCTAATTAAATACAATGACAACAGAAAGAATAAGGTAATGTATCAGCAGAATTGTTTTAAGTGGGGGGAAATGCTTATTTTTTGGTATTTTAAGATTGAATAATAATTATTATTTCTCACTGCTCTCGTATAATTTGTGTTTTAAATTCAAATTTTGAAATGTAGTTTTAGAAAATGGTGAATTTTGTTTTCAGAAATATTCTTAGTACTTTCTAAAGTCCAATGTGTTCAGCATAAAACCACCTGCTAGTATGAACAGTTAAACCTTGCAGTTTCCTTGCATCCTTTATATTTTGATTTGTGCTTCCTTTTCCCTTTTCAGTTTTCAGACAATTATTACCGTGCTGAGCTTATAGACGCACTTGCAAACTCAGTGACACCTGCAATTAGCATCAATAATGAAATTCGAACATTAGATAACCTGAACCCTGATATCCGGCTGATTCTGGAGGAGATCACCAGATTTCTAAACATGGAGAAACTGCTTCCAAGCTATAGAAACACAATCACTGTCAGGTACTATTACTCATTGATTCTGGATACCCCCTGCTACTTTTAAATTACTCTTGTCTGTTTCTTAAAATAAGGTTTTCTCTTTTTGTTTTGCTGGGCTACGCACAGAATCCAGTCAAGAGGATAGGGAGGAGAACTCCCATCAATGCAGGCCTCAGTCAAGGCCAAAATAGGCAATACGGGAACATGGCAGGACAGGATAACTAACCTCTCCAATTGTTGTTCCCTCTCTTTCCTCTGTTTAGTGTTGGCTCACAGACCCAAAGGAAAGTGAAAGTGAACGGGATTGTCTCCCACTGTTCCATACCTCACTGTGCCCTAGTATCTATAATGCATTAGCTGTACTGTTTCAGTTTTGTTTAGGGCGTACACTATACACTTTATGGAACACCTTTCACATTTGGGAGGATGTCAAAGGTTTCTACAAAAAAAATGGTCAAAAGCACAGTCCAAGGGGAAAGTCTTGAGGGGATCTTGAGGGAGGAAAGAGATGGAGTGAGTCGTGGGTACTCCAGGATGGGGTTCCTAAGAGTGGGGGCAGAAAGACTGAAAGCTTGACCGCCAAGAGTGGGGTGGGAAACGTGAAGCAGGCTGGTGCCCACTGAGCAGAGGGAGCAGCCGTTTGTAGGTTTTGAGGAGGTTGCAGAGGTAGAATGGGGCAAGGCCATGGAAGGATTTAAAGGTTAAGATTTGAGCAAACCTAACCAGGTCTATTTGTGTTACTGGTAGCTCTGGAGGCTTGAACACATATTTAACACATATTTAATTTAAATCAAGTGCTTTAGCTGTTGGACCACCAAAAACACAGAGCAATTATATAAAAAAAAGTATTCATAACATTTGTGTATTAATTTATAGTTGCCTGAAAGCTATTCGAGTGCTGCAAAAGAATGGTCATATTCCTAGTGATCCTTCACTCTTCAAATCATATGCAGAAAATGGTCACTTTGTTGATGTGCGCATTGCAGCCTTGGAAGCAGTTGTGGACTACACGCAAGGTATGGAATTCTTGTTTTCTTAAGTTAAAATTGTTGACTGTTTAATGCCTTCCAAAGCAAATATTCTTTGTAAACATTGAATAGAAAAATGCCCTACATTTGTTTACTATTTTGAATTGTCCTGTGTGATTTTATCAGCCAGTTGTAACTCAGAAATATTAGTGTGGTGGTCAATAAAGAAATACTAATCTATATTAAAAACTACATTGCCACCTTGTTTAAAGTCAGCACCTGTAATTGTATGATATTGGGATCAAAAAGACTCAAATCACAGAAATACTGGCTCATCGTGTTGGATACAAGACTTCCCACTGTAAATTACATTTTCTGCAAGGAATTCCATGTACATCATGTTGACTCGTGAGAACAACTGAGGTGGTCTCAAATTGTAGTCGAAGTTTTGCAAGTCAGCGTGACAGCTTTGTGTTCAAATGCTTTTTCAATGCGAGCGTGTTATTCGATTGTACTATTTACATACTTGTACTTCTAAAAACTTGTACATGTAGAATGCTAACAAACTGACAAATTACAATTGTATAATGCCTCTCACGTCTTGAGTACGTTCCAAGGCTCTGAACTGTCAGGGGTTTGGACCCGAGCACGGGTTTGGGACCAGGGGGATGAGGGCAGGGAGGGTCGGGATAGGAAGGTGGCCAAATGCGCGGTTGAAGAGGAGGGTCTTGAGATGTGCTTTGAAGGAGGCAAGGGAGACGAGAGGCCAGATGAAGGGATTGGGGGATGGAGTTCCAAAGGGTGGTGGCAGAAAAGCTGAAGGCCCAACCACTGATGGTGGGTGGACCAGACAAGGGACTTGGCGGAGACTGGAATCTCCTGAGCAGAGGGATGGACAGGTTGATATAGGTTAGCAGGTCACAGGGTTAGGAAGGAGCACAGCCATGGAGGGCGTTGAATTCTGTCCTCTGGGGAATAGGGAGCCAGTGGAGCAGGCAAGGGTAGGGTTGATAGGGTCACGGAGTCTGGTGTGGGAGAGGACACAAGCTACAGAGTGCTGGATGACCACCATCAGCAGTTGAGCGTTCAGCTTCTTTGCCCCCACCCTTTGGAACTCCAACCCCCGGTCCCTTTGTCTGCCCCCTCCCTTTGCCTCTTCAAAGCACATCTCAAGAATATCCTCTTTGACCTCGCATTCGGCGACCCTCCTACCCTCCCTGCCCTCCACCCCACCAGTCCAAATCCCTTGTGGAGGGAAACTTCCAGAATCTGAGTGTAATTCGCAAAACTAAAAGCTGTTCCTGAGCACTAATAAACACCTCAAGGAGTGCTCTGTTGTGTGTGATGTGCAGGAGCTGTTTATTGCCTTGTATGTTCTGGATTGCCTACTTTTATTGTTTATGAACTGCTGTAATTTTCCATTAAATATTCAACAACTAGATTCTTGTTATAAACATGGCAGTAGTGTAGCTTATGAACTAAAGCTAGCTGAAATTGTTTGGTAGTAAATCCTTGCCATATGGAAGTGGATTGCTTAGTTATTGTCCCCAGACTCTGGTGCTTTATTAAAAAAAAGCTTGCGTCTCTTGAGTTGCCTTTTCCAAACAAAACAGTTATTTATTGTATTTCTTTTTTCATTTAAGTGTGATTTTTGTTCTCCTTTCCTCACTTTTTAAGGATTGTACTCTTTATTATACAACCTTGAGAGCTTGATCATGCAACATCAAATATTTTATTGACAGGGATTCCATTCACCATTCCTCTAATTAATCCGAACAGAAACTTCCCAAGTGTTTAAAATTTAACTATGTAAGAACATATTACGTTCTTGAGGCAAGGGGTCAGGAATTATGTAATTCTTAGTTATTTAATATGTGTCCTTGCATTTTGTTTGTGTGACAGGAAATTATTAGGGAGTCAATCTACAAGCTTTTCATTTATAGTTCATGTCACGTGGAAGGAGTGTTTATTATCAGAGTAAATAAATTGCATCATTTGCCTTTAACTGTTTAGGTCATTGCTGTTGTAATAATAATGGAGACAAAAAAATGTACTGGTGTTGACATTACATTATTGCATAATCTTTGCATTTGGCATAGAGCCATATCACATCAGAAAGATGTCTCAAAGCGCTTCACACGATTTACTATGAAATGGAGTGACAGTGTATTTGTAGGCAAATGCGGCAGCATAGTTGCAAACAGCAATGTCCCACAACAGCCATGAAACAAATGACTGATTTTATTTGGGGGATTGTTGGCCAGGACGCTGGGAGACCTCCCTTCTCTAGGGAGTCTCTAAATTGTTGGAGGAGCAAGTATTGGAGCAACAATAAAATGGATAAAAGAGAGTAATTAATTTGGAAGACTAAAATTGCTTCCTCCCCATAGATTTGGACAACTAAAAGCTGCTTTTAGTTTAACTCTGAAATAAGGAAAGCAAATTTTAGTTGGGTTTTAATTGGTGTCTAAAATGGGAAATTCATAAAATGATTTGTAGTTACTCATACTTGCAAAAGTGACTGTAATGGTAATTGGAAGTGCCTCCAGCTTGAGAACTTTATCCCAACACAATCTGAAGTGTATCGTATTGGAGCAGTTCCTTGGTGATATTGGGTTACCAGTAGGAGTCAGTATTTGCATATCAGAATTGCTATTTGCAAATCTATTTGCCCGGATTGCATTTTAGACCCCAGTGTTTGTATTTCTTCCTAATACTTAGTAAGTGGTCTACATATGTAATAATTATAATCCTTGCATTTGATATAGCGCTTTTCACGTCTTCTAGACGTCCCATCTAGATCTCTGTTTGGTTTGATTACTATTAAGCTTGGTGATGGTTTTCTGAATGTTTCAGAACACAGCTGACAAAAAAAATCATCCTAATAACTTTTTGGAAAAAAATACATTTTATAGAAGCACTTGTAAAATTTTATTTCATAAAATTTTTAATTACACTAATATTTGTATTTCATAAATATAAGTAATGTTTGAATTATCTTCATGATCAAAGCTCTAACCAAATGTTTTTGCTCAGTGGACAGAAGCACTGATGAACTGCAATGGCTGCTAGATCTGGTCCAAAATGATCCTGTGCCTTATATAAGGTTAGTTTTGCTAGAACGCATTTAGTTTTTGTTATTTTAAATAGACTGTTTGGTGAGTTTGAATAAATGAATATTCGGGTCAATTTAGTGATACACTTGATATTCATCATATCGATGAAATCATATCGAATGTAAACGCATGTGATGGAACTCTCTTCTCCAAAAGGCTGTGGATGCTGGATACATTAACATTTTCAAGACTGAGGTGGAAAGATTTTTGTTACGTAGGCGTATCAACATATGTGGGGCAAAGGCGGATACTTGGAGTTATGGTACAGATCAGTGGCTCGAGGGGCTGAATGGCCTATTTCTGTTCCCAGATTTTGTCTAAATTCCAATCTGACTTTCTTATCCATATTTGCTTTTCCTTTTATATTTATTTAAACTTAAATTATAATATTTAAGAAGTTTATGCTTTACCTTTATATATTTTCTTTTAGATTCAGTTCAATCACTTCACTAACCTGTTTTCTCGTTCCTTATGGCTTTCACCATTGATATTTGAGGTTGAAGCAGTTTTAAAGAAATTGGCTTTTATTAGCTGAAAACAAACTGCAGAGGCTGTTTTTTCAGCCAATCAAAAACACAAAGACTGAACATTGGCAGGGTCAATTTAAAGACATTACTGGTCAACTCTTGACACGTAAAATGTTATGCTTAGAAGTGCTACTGATTGAGTAAATTCATGTGTAGTACCCTGACCTATTGTGCACTGACAAGTACATTTCTCTATGGTATAGTAAGGACCAGGACAATGGGTGCAACTTTAGATCCAGAGGGTATGATGATATATAATATATAGGAGATATAATTGAAAAAAATGCTACTATTCCAATCTGCTTTCCACGTAATTGCAAATAATCCTATTACTCTTCCATGGTCTTTAACACCTAACCATATTAAAACCACATACCAATTTTCCATTTTTTAGTTGATTGAGAACCATGGAATATGCCTTCTAAGAAACTGATAGCTATGGTTAAAATGAATCATTCTGACTTTGCACCCTCTCTGTAACTACATACTTTAAAAGTGTTCATTTCAATTTCAACTACAATCAGTCAGTTAAAATTACAGTCCTTTCTACAAACCATACATTTAGTTTCAGTTCTAGCTAGCAATCTGAAGAATTGGAAAGTAAAGCTTTGTCTTTATTGGCCAGAATGCTCAAAATTGTATGCAATTTCTTCAGAATTAACAGCTCTTTATAGTAGTCTGCACCTGCCTCCCTAAATCTCTGAGGAATATGTTGAAAGGAGAGTTGTTGCCAACGGTTTGTCACGTGCCTCTAAGCAGCCAGTTCAGAACAGTGTTGGTAAACCGGCAAACTATCCTCTTTGCTGAAGATATGTATTGCCTGGGAAAATAATGCGGACATAAATATGTACTCTTTCATACTTTCAAGCTAACTAATTGCTTAAATGTTACTTGCCTGTATTGTCGAAGAAAGCCAGCAAGGTAGATAAAATGAATAACCATCAGAAAAATTAATGGCTGAACTAAAATAGGTTTACTGAGTGATTTGAGTTACTTATATTTTTATTCTAAGTGTACAAATGTCCTGCAACATGTCAGGCTCATAAAATATTTGTTCCCATCTTTTAAAGGGGTAAATTGTGTGTCCGAGTGTCTATTTAGTGACTCGCATGTACTTGAAAATGGATCTTTATTTCATTCATTATAGGCATAAGGTTTTGAGCATGCTGAATAAGAATCCACCGTTTACCAAGAGTGCAGAATCTCCTCTGTGCAATGAGGCCCTGGTGGACCAGCTCTGGAAACTAATGAACTCAGGTACATATGCATAACCCACATAAAGAATATTTTGTGTGGTTAGCATTATCTGATTGTTTTCTTTATTGCAATGTTTACTCCAAATAATATTTGAAAAAATTATAGCATGGTAAGTAAAGTGAATGTAAATAAATTGCAAATTTGTACAGTGTTAAGGTGATATTTCCCTTCATTCTCAGTAGTTTAAAGTTTCTTCATTGTCCTTCATTCAGTGATCTTTTATGACAGGAAGAGGCAGAGAATGACATCTTAAAAAGCATTCTGGTGATGTCACAAGACATGGCTGAAGGCAAATTCACTTTGACTTGATTCTGAATCATGCTTTTTCTGGGAAATCATATGTATAGTAATCAGACTCATAAGGCTTTGGCTCAGAGCTGAGTTTTCATTGGAGCTGAAGGCTTGCAAATTTGTGCTATGCGAAGGATTTTGTGGAGAAAGCACAGGTTACGTTGTGGGTATGTTTTACCAGCAGTGATGTAATGTCCATTAACATCCTTGTCCACTGCAACTGAAGGCATGTACTTTGTTACAATAAACTGTTTCCAATTTCCTAAACAAATGGTCTGAGAAAAATGAAAATGGAGGTAGATAATGAAAGATGGACATGTTAGAAAAAAAAGTTGGATAGGTAGAAAAGAGTTAAAAAAAACTAGGTTAAGTTGAGATGAAGATAAGGAGAAAGAACAAGCTGTAGGTATTGATGATTTTGTTTGATAACTCTGACCAATAAAATTGGTCTTCATTTCTTTGCTGACGTTACTGTGTACAATTTGGCTGCCTCATTCACCCACAATAAAATGCACAGTCACTCCACCTTACACTATAACTTGTGAAGTGCTTTTAAGACATTGTTCTGATATAAAATCCGCTGCACTAAATGTGAATATTATTATTTTGCTAGGATGGGCAAATAATGGTCTTAACAGCATTAAGGTTGATCTTCTTAATGTATGTATGGTCTCCTGTTTTATACGGTGTTCTGCCCAGAACAACCATGCTCCTAAAATCTACGGGACACCATACCCAGTGACCGTGCATTATAATTTTTCTTTCTCAGATCAGAAAGACCCTCAAGGCTGATCTGTTCCTGCAGTACTTGCACATTTGATGGGGCTTTTTTTACTTGTAAAATATGTAACCAATCTGCTGCGTCACTAGTGCAATACCCTCTTGTGTAGAATAGTTCTCAAACAGAAATGTTCCAACCTAGTTCTAAAAATGTTCATTCTGGACAGCTGGTTGTGAAATAGTTACGTTGTTTACTCATCAACTGTGGTTCTGATGTGCTCAATAAAAATATCAGTCACTGAGGCACCATAAACTGTCTAGGTTTAGAGCTTTTAGTGTTTAATATTATGAAAGCCTTCTCCAGGTGTTTTTTCTTTCAGGGTAGTCTTTCAAATTAAAGGGTACAGTTTCTTTGAAGTCTGTTCAGTGCTTGAATGGAATACTGTATTTTGGTTTGGTTAATTCAGTAGTTTCAAACCCGTACAAAATTATAATTCAGGATTTAATGGAGAGTGGTATTTTCACTGGTTTGCTCTGTTTACTGAAGACATTTAGTTTTGCTGTTTCTTTAGTGAACAGTGAATTACTGAATGAAATCTATTTTAACATTTTCACTTCACAAAGACAGTTTTCCACCAGAAAACACTTACTGAAGTGATGCACGAAATACTGATACAGCACAATCATAGGTCAGTGGTCTTATCTACTTTTCAGATTTTCTAAGTATTTGATTATTCAGTGCAGCATTTTAGGTCCAACTTATGAGTATATCAGGTACACAAATGGCAGATCTTAGATCAAAGGTGAATGTCATGTCTAGAATATTATTTTTCAATAGTTGCTCGATTGAATTTCACTTGTTCCATGTATTGGATCTTTATACATGCAGTTCTAAGTGATTTGTTTCTTTAGTAACCATTAACATTGTAATGCAGCATTTAAAGACTAGTTGCACTTTTTTTTCCACACACAGTTGGAAGGTACAAAGTAAGGTACAAAGATGGAAAAGCAGCTGGATATGCCAGAACAAGTTAATTTGTTGGTTTTGCAAGGCCTTCATCATAGTTAAAACCCGTACTGACTTTTTTTTAATATAAAATAAATGTGAGAAACGGGCATTAAAATTTGCTGTTTGGTTTCAACCCGGTTTACACTGAACTATTCACCAGAAAAACATCAATGACGCCATCTATTACTTGCACCCGGAGTTGCAAGCTATAAAGACCTTCATAAAAGACAAATTCTTGTCAATTTTCTCATTTCACCTGCTGAGTGTGCTTGATTCCTTTTTTCTTCACAGGTTCCAGTACTTTGTCTTTAATCATTTTGTAAGCTTGTAAATGTTGGCAGGTTAATCAAATATGGATTAATCAAAAATTATAACCAAGGCCAATCCTGTCCTCAACTAACCAACCTCCAAAACTTGTATGACCAGCGAGGTTGCTGGTTAAGTATTGGGAGCAAGAACCCTGCCTGATTTTCCTCTCCCAAAATGCTGATGTAGAATATTCGGCCCTCTTTCTCCCCCCATCCTCCAGCCAGATCATTAATTAGGGAATGGCCAACTTGTGGGCTGTGACTATTCTATGCATGTGCAACGTGAGCCACGGGCCACAGGTTTGCCCTCCTTAAGCTAACTCAACAAAGACCAGGATAGAATGGGACTTCCCATTCTGTATGCTCAGATAGATATTCATTAGACAATCGGGGAGTCAGATTTAGGCCATGTGTGATGATGTAAAATGGATTAGATAATGTGGTTCAAGTAGACAAGAACACACATCTTTCAGGCCTACTGCTAGTGAGAAAAAAATCCATTAGCTGCATACAATCTTGCAAGAGTTTATGGCTTCTGTAACTTGGGTTAAATATCTCCATCAATAACTCAATATCCATCAGCAGGTGGTTCTCAGGCTCACCATTCCGTTTTAAGTGAGTTTTGTTGATATATGCAATTTCTAAAATGCACTCATTTATTTAAGCTATATTATTATTTTTTATTATTATATTAGTTAAGACACAAAATATTGAATATATAACCTTGGTGAGCAAGCATTTCTTACTTTCTGATAATTAGTCAATTTACTGACCTTGACAGTATCAGTTTATATTGCAGAAGACAAAGCTAATTATTTACCAATTCCATCATCCATTCCAATAACTATGGTACTATCTCTGTACTTGAGATACATGACGACGTGAAAGGCGCTATATCAAATGCAGGGATTATTATTATCTCTGATGCAACAAAAAGCACTTTTTTTAAAAAAAAGCAATAAACCTAAAGGGCAAACATGTTTATCCATTTTTTGGCATCAACTGAATGTACTTTAATCCAGCTGAGTACAAGTAATTAACATTGACCTATTCTTTTAAACTCTTTCAATCAGGGTTACTGCTGGAACCATAAAAGCAATGATCCAAATGATGCAATGCCTTTTAACCCAGAGAATGGAAGGATGTAGGTCTCCTGGGCACACTGAAAACTGGAGTAAGATCTAGAAATTTCAACTCATTCCCAAATTGACAGTCAAAAGTACACACTTATCCTGAATCTGGCAGTACATTTGATAGTTTGCTGTCTCAGACTGGGAGTTGAGAGCAAGATTATCTCTTGTCAGGAGCACACTTCTCTGAGATTAGATCTGTTGGCAGACCAATATGGAAGCAGACAGCATTGTCATTGAGTTTTATAATGTTAAGAGTTGATGTTATTATCATTTTACGGAATAACCCCACTTTCACAAAACTTGCCAATAATTATTTAAACAGATTATTTTTACACAAGAGTTTTAGAATATGGATTGCTTATCATAAATGTCCGTTAGATCCAAATCCATAAGTGTGTTTAAAAGAGAATTGATAACTTATTTGAGCAAATTGCAGAGTAATGGGATTGGAGGTAGATTGCTTCAATGAGGACGATACTGCAGTACTGTATGAATACGGATATGATGGCCTTTAGCCTGCTATATGCTTTATGATTCTATGACTTGGCTAATTGAACTGACTGGTACTGTTAATTATGTCTTGTCTATTATTTAATAATATGGTTTTAGGATGAATTAATGGCATTTAAAGCAGTTCAGGATTGAAATTAATACACAATCGTTTTTCTGATTCACAAATGTGACCATCTCCAGACTCATCAACAATATCAACAAAATTACATTTATATAACGCTTCTCACATCAGAAAAATGTCTCAAGGCGCTAGACAGTTAAGGATTTGCACCCAAGCTGTGGGTTGGAATCAAGAGAATTTAGCTGTAAAATTCATCAAATTAGAAAGGATTAGAATCATTATGCCACATCTATTTTATTTTGAACCTCTCACAGCCATTAATTATGTGAATAATTTGCCATTATCTATTTATATTACAATACAATAGAATGATGTGTGTGTGTATACAATATATATATCCACAATATATATATACACAATATGTACATATATATACACATGGCTAATAACTAAATGGCTGCTTCTCCACTCCTAAATGTGGTAGTGAAGTGTTATTGAAATGTTGATGAAAATCTTTAGTTGCACATATTTAGGTATCAGGTTGGTAGCACTCTTGCCTCTTGAGTCAGAAAATAAACATTGTGTCGGGATTTTGAATTGTTTAGGCTGGTACTCCACTGCAATGCTTGGGGAGCAAAGCATTGATGGAAGTGACGTCCTTGGGAAAGAGACATTAAACCGACAACACATCTGCCTGCCAGTGGATGCTAAAGATCCCATGGCACTATTTGAAAAGAGAAGGGACTTTATAATAATGCTCCTGTGGCTCCATCTTTTGAGTTTCATAATACAGGTAGGGCATATTTTAAGAAAGTAACTCACCTCAGGACAGAGGTAATAAACCCCTCAAGTTTCTCTGTGGTTGTTTGTAAAATCATTTCATCTCTTAAAGTGTTCCTGCCATGTAACACAATCCAGCCTTTGTGTTATCCTATATGTTCTGTTTCAAGTTGAAAAACTGTAGCACAAGTATTGCATCTGGGATGTATCAGTACTCCTTGATCTGTTTTGTGATTGTTCCAGCATTACTAATGCACTGTTTCACAACACTTGGCTGATTAACAAAGGCTTGCATATAAACTTTGTTTTTATAGTATCATCTTACAGTAAAAGTGGGGTATTTTTGTTTTGTTAATAATGTGTATGATTTAATGAGGTTATTGGGAGACCACTGGCAGTTTACTAAAGTCCTTGCTGTCAGATTGATTTTAATTGTTCTCTGGACTATGTTTCAGAGTACAAAAATGTATATTTCTTAAAACCACTCTGCTAATGGTTAATCCTTAAACCATCAGAATTATTAGACATTTTAAGAGGTAAAGGAAGGACTTCAGGTGTGATCTGAAGACAGGAAGGAGGAAGCGAAGCTGAGGGATTGAGGCAAGGAGATAATAGGTTTCAGTGAAAGCACGGCACCGATGGTGGAGCGGAGGGGATGAGAGATGTACAAGAGGTTGGAGCCAGCTGAGCGAAGGCGGCGGGTAGTGGAGTGGGGTATAAGCATATTGGAGAGGTAGGGTGGTGCCAGAACATGAAGTAATTTGCACACAAGTATGAGGATCTAGAAATTGATCAGTTCTGTAATAGAGAGCAAGTGGAGCCTGGTGTGGTCTGGGGTGATGGGGGCACGGAGTTCGGTGCGGGTGGGGATATGTGAGGCAGAGTTTTTGAATTGAATGGATTTTATGAATGGTGGTGCTGGGAAGACCGGTGAGGAGGACATCAGAATAACTGAGGCAGGAGTTGACGAATGCGTGAGTAATGGTTTTAGCAGTATCGGATGTGAGGTATGGTCGGAGGTGGACGATGTTACTAAGGTGAAGGAAAGTAGAACTGACCAGGGCAGGAAGGATGTGAACCTCTTGCCTAAGTTGTGCACAGGTTCAGTAAGTCTGAGGGATAGGCTGGGGAGGTTGAGGGTCAGAGCCGCAGGAGTGAAGATGTTGATGGGAGTCAAGGAATGTATCTTTCGTCTTGCTATCATTCAGCAACATTTCAGCTATAATTTGCCAAGTTCAGTACTACAGTACTACTGTGCGCAATTGGCTGCTGCATTTCGCTCACAAAATAGTCAATTCGCTTTACAGTATATCCTGTGAACCGCTTTGAGATGCCTAAACAACTTGATAAGGTACTGTATCAAATGCAAGGATTATTATTATTAGCATTATTACAGGTTTATTGAGAAATAATTTAGAGTTGATTAGCAACGCATTGTACCTATCTGCGTATGAATGGATAAGTAAAATGCACTTATTTAACAAGAATCAACCATGATCAAAGATATTATTTTTCATTAAAATGTAATTTGTTAGATCTGGAGAAGAAATTAAATGATTTGTATTTCCTGCAAAAACTTTGACTTAATATTTCCTTACTTTTTACTTTACCAGAGCTTACAGTTAAGTGTTCATATAAACTCTTAGTAGATTTTGCATTCTCTTTCATGTCAAACTTTTGACAATATATCAATTTATAAGAAATAATGATTCTTACATTTGATTTAAAGCCTTTCGTGTTACAAGGACATCTCAAAACATTTCACAGGATATAATGTAAAGTATACTGACTGTATTTTAGAAACAAAAACAAATTTAACATTAAGCCCCCCAAAAGGTTCTTAGTGCTTGCTCAGAACGATGTTATAAAACCAGAACCTCTACCTTAAGAATCTAATCTTTTTGGTCTTGGGCGTATTTAAGCTGAATAATTGAGTATACTACCCACAGCCTCCAACTTTTTCCATTAGCCCACTTCTCTCCCACATCCAGCTCTTTCCCCGATTTCCCCTCGTCTAAAATTAACTTTTGGCAGTCAGACTGCAGGTCTTGGCCCTAGCTTGCTCTATCAATAGAAGCTAACTTTGTTTTGACCAAGGAGAGCGGAGATTTCAGTCCTTGGGAACAAGTTATTGTTATGTAACAAAAAAAATGTAGAACGCAATGTGGAGCCTGAAATTTACAAATTAAAAAGCACTTGCTTCAGGGATATTAAAAAGTAATTTTAGGTAATATTTGATACCTAAAAAAGAATCAGCAAACCACTTACCTGAAGAGAGGTAGTGCTGCCACCTGCTGGTTTATGCTGACGTGACCTTAGGTCGGAATTAACCTAATCGGTGCCGCAATTTGGTTTCCACTTTGTGATAACCCACAACAGTTTAAAATGGATGGTTTTTAAGATGCTCGTACTCGCTTACAAATCATTTCATGCCCCAGCACTTGTCTACCTCACCAATCTGCTCACGCCTGTTCCATTCACTCGGTCTTGGGCCTTCTGCGAATCCCTCCACTCTACCATCGTTGGCCGTGCTTTCAGCCACTATGACTTCTGGAACTTCCTGAGTCCCTCCGCCTGCCCCACTTTGAACATACTACAGATCACATTTGCAGTCTTTACTGTTTGTCTGTGCCTCTAATCACCAGCCCTCTCTCTCGGCTGGTATCAAACTTAGGCATTGTTTTGTTAAGTACTACGAGATGCTACCCCCCCCCCCCCCGGCCCCCTTGAAGAGCTGTATGTAAATACAAGTTGCTGCTGTTGTATAATAGTTCCACAGTGAGGTGCTGGAGTGCATTGAGGCACCTTATTCTTAGCTTCGTGTTTTGTGTTAATTTGAAGGCAGCTCTGTGGGTACAGTGGGTAAATTTGTAACTTGATGGTTTTGAATCCTGATCCGTGCTGAGTTTTCTGGTCTCAGCCTGGGCTGCATGGACTGGGAGAGGAAAACCAGCCACAACTCCTGCTCCCTCTGCCGCAGCCAATACTGGTTGTACGTGTGTGTGTCAGCCAGGTGGAGAAAGTTTGGGTATGGCTGTAACACCCTCTATAATTGAGTAGCCACATTTGCATGGGATACTGGAGAGCAACCTGTGGAAACACACCCCAGCAAGAGCAGGCCAGAGAGGCAGATGCCATTGTTGAGAAAACTAGAAAAATTAATTGGAGACACCAGTTATTTTTTTAAAAATGCCTTGAAGATTATTTGAAAAATATCTATTCCCCTGTACAGGGACTTCGCATGACTGGAGACTGAGATGTGATGGTGTGGACATGTACTATACCTTGTTTGGCCTTAGCAGACCTTCTTGTCTCCCTCTGCCTGAGCTTGGCCTGGTCCTCAACCTCAAAGAAAAGAAGACTGTGCTGAACCCTATCATTATCCCTGACCCGGGAGCAAGTAATCCAGAGGCTATGGGCAATCCAAGTATTCATGGACCAATGGCTGGTTACCAGATAAGTGTAAGTAATTTAGAATAATATATAGCATTTAACTTTGCTCATGTTGGTACAAAACTTAATGAAATTTTGTATCACATTTCATTTCCATTCCAAGGTCATGTAGCAGTTTAAATGGAGCAAGCTGGATAATTCTGCCTTCTTCCTCCTCCCCCTAAAATTAATTATTCTGTTGATGCATTGCACTCCGTGTAACATTGTGATGGAGGGAAAAGCAATCTAGTTCAGATAGCCTTGGGATGTCTTCCAGTTCTTTGCCCAAGTGCCCATTTCTTCACGTGTGAGTATGGACAATAACGTTAGCAGACTGCTTAGCCATGAGAGGGAAGAATTGCATCTCAGACCAATCTTCACTGGACACAATATATAATATGCACAATTCCAACTGGCATCCCAGGAGCACATTCCCCTGCCTCCCCTCTCCCCACCCCCCCCCCCCCCCCCCCCTCCCAGATAGACTGGAAGTGCAGAAATCAACTACTATGTAGTGCTGACTCCACTGGACCAAGTACGATTGGCCCAAGTAGACTGGGGTTCAAATCTGGGATTGTGGTCTGTATGCTTCAGGATCATGCCACACAGTAAATTTATCTGGAGCCATCAGGAAAGCTTCAAACTACTTCAAATAAATGCGACTACGTCTTTGATTTAGAATAGCTGTTTCGAATCAGGTTTATAAAATCTTGTTAAAGTAAGATGCGTTTGGCTTGTCCAGGAGGAGGACCATCTTGCCAAAGATTCGATATCCAGTGGATCTGGAATTCAGCAGGGCGTAAAGAGAAAGGCTGAGACCCCACTTGGTTCCCCACTGGAACCTGGCCAGATCCTGGAGAAAGATGAAGACAACAGTAAAGTCAAACTGAAAATTAAAGTAAGGAGGCTGTGTATTTTGTTGGTTTATTTATGCAAGCTAAGAATTAACCACAATAGGAATTAACAATAATGTGTTAACTGATTTTCCTATTGTATTAATTTGTGTTATGCTTTTATGTTTTAAATTGTTTTAAATGTGTCCACTTGTTTTAAATGTGTCCACTATTGCCTCTGAATCAGAAGATTGTGGTTCAAGCCCCACATTTGAGCCCATATCAAAATACCAGGCTTGACTATGCTAATTCCCTGCTCACCGGACTTCCCAACTCTTCCCTCCACAAACTGCAGATTATTCTGAGCTCTGCAGCTCATGTCCTTTCCTGAACCAGGCTCTGTGACCTGATCACCCCCATCATCACCCGGCTCCACTTGTTCCCCATCCCTCAGAGGATCGAGCTTAAGATCCTCAGCCTCACTTTTAAAACCCTCTACCTCTGTGACCTACTAAAACCTTGCTAACCTGCCCACTCCCTCAGCTTGGCGGGCACTGGCCTCCTTCATGTCCCGCCATCCTGCCTGCCCCGCCAATGGCCATCGAGCCTTCAGTCTTTCTGCCCCTACACTCTGGAATACCATCATGGAGTCCTTTTCCTTCACCTGGCTTCCTTCATGGTCAGACTCTAGACCATCCTCTTTGACTGTGCCTTTGATCATCCTCCCATCCCCTCTTGCCCTCCACCCCTCTTGATTCCAACCCAGATCTCGGTTGTTTGAATTGCTTCACAAAATTGATTGGCAAACCCTTGACTGTCCAGCAGCTTGGGACATCTTCCTGGGGTGAAAGGTGCTATATAACTGCAATTTGTTGTTGTTGTTATTGAACTTGACACTGGGACTGTGCTGCATTGTTGGAGGGACTTTGGATGATCTGTCTATTCAGGTGGGAGCTAAAGATCCCTTGGCACTATTCAAAAAGGGAATGGAAGTCCTCCTAGTTTCCTGGCCATCAATGCCCCAGAGAAAATTGGTTATTCACTTTGTAGCTGTTTTTGTGATATTGTTGTGCGCAACTTGGCTGATGTGTTTGCCTACAAGTACACAGTTTACAAAAACACATTTTACTGTAAGTTCTGTGAAGCAATTCAACAATGATAGGAGGCAACAACAACAACTTGTATTTATGTAGTGCTCTTCAAGTAGGATTGCGTCTCGAAGCACTTTACAGTGGTGGGGACTGATGTCGAGCAGGGGAGAGGGAGGAAGTGGGAAGGTGATCATAGGTGTGATCAAAGAAGTATGTTTTAATGCAGCACTTGAAAATCGATAAGTGCTCCGAGATGCCATCCAGGGCGTAGGGCGCTATATAAATGCAAGTCATTGCTGTTAGTAGAGGGGGGCAAGCCAGAGAGTAGAGGGCGGAATTTCCAGAGCTACTATTCCAATTACAGAGATTATTTATTATTATTAATTGATTGGTACTAATACCTGATGATGCTTGCTCCTTATGAAATACAAGTCGTGCTACAATATATTTTGCGCTTATTTTATTTTCAGTTTTCTAATTCTCAGGAAGATGAGGAGATTGATATGGAATCTGTTCATGATAGCCAAGCTTTTATTTACCACCACTTGAACATTCTTGAGCGTCCATCCACTCCAGGTAAGAAGAATCTAAACAAATTGGTCCACAAAGCATGTATAAAAAGACAAAGTAGAACACAACAGATTGCAGTATGATGCTGTTTGTAAGAATAAACATCCATACTGCTGCTGTATATGTATATGCTAAGTACAGTTTTATATGTGTGTGTGTGTGTGTGTGTGTGTATATATAATATATATGGTTTGTTTATGTGACTTATTACTGCTTTGGTGAAGAGTGGATTTATTTATGAAAACTAATTCATAAATCAACTTTTCTGCTTTTCTTTTTAACCCCTTTATATATACCTTAGTTCATACTTGTGATCTGATTTTCTGATCATGCATTTTAGCCTTGAGATTTGCGACTCTTGTGATTCATTTGCTAATTTTAAACCACAGAATGCTGCAGAGAACTTTTCACTAACTTAACCAGTCCATAAAATTGTTTACAAACAATTTTACAACGTATGCTTTCCTGAGCAGCTCTCTACTTACAGAGGAAAAAACATGCAGAACTATTATATCTGGTTCTAAATATACCTGAACTTCAATCACTGACAAACAAGCTTCCTCAGTTGCTCTGTTGGGGAGCTACTGTCCAGGCTGTCACAAAAATGCCCATTTGAGCAAAAGATAGTTGGCTGCCTGCCTTTGGAACTATACTTAAGCCTGATTCAGTGCTTTTGGGAAGAAATTAGATGAAATAACACATTGGCATACTTTATAGCTAGGCGTCAATGTTTGAAGCAAACTATGCTTCATTCTATAAATTACAGTTTGACCCTGTGAGAGTTTGAAACGAACAGCTGCAACTAGGAATAATGCATATTATTAAAGTGCAACTCAGTAAAAAGTAAGCTGCCTGACAATTCTTTGGTTCACTTAGTTTCTATTTAATTCAGAATATGCACCTTGAGTTTCTACAATTATAAGATCCAAAATGATGCTGGAAACAAATCAGCTTAATTCCATTAATGGCACTTTTTCTACTGTGTCAGAAGGTTGTAAATTCAAGCCCTATGTTGGTTCTTTACATACCAGTGTTGTACAGGTTGATGGCTGAGATGTTAAACATGAGATGTTAAACTGAGGTTCAAACTGAGGGCCTTGTGATACTATTCAAAGGGAAAAGGTAGTTTCCCTTGACCTCCTGGCCAGCAACCTTTCAATAACCATAACTTGCATATATATAGCGCCACTCATGCAGGTTGGCATCCCAGTGCGCTTGAAAGTGGCAGAGTAAGACACCAAGCTTAGGGAGATGACCGTAGGCCGTCGAAGAGGAAAGTCTTCAGGTACAATCTGAAGGAGGGGAAGGAAGTGGCAAGGCGGAGGGATAGAGGATGAGTGTTTCAGAGCTTTGGAGCATAATGACTTAAAGTGTGGCCACCGATGGTGGAATGGAGAGTATGAGGGACATGCAGGAGGCTGGAGCTAGTGGGTTGGGGAGTAAGCCAGTAACGAGGTACCAGGGCATGAAAACTAGTGTGAGGATCTTGAAATCGATTCGTTCAGTGATAGGGAGTCAGTGGAGCCTGGCTGGAACTGGTGTGATGGTGCTACGGAGTTTAGTGCGGCTGAGTATACTGCAGCAGAGTTTTGGATCAGCTGGATCTCGTGGATGATTGGAGCTGGGGAGACCAGCGAGAAGGGATTTGAAAAGTAGAGTCGGGAGATGACGAACGCATGGCCAAGTGTTTCGGCTGCATCTGGCGTAAGGTAATGTGGCGAAGGTGGTCCTGGTCAGGGACTGGATGTGGTGTCGGAAGGACAGCTGTGGGTTGAATCTGACGCCTGGTTCGTTTACTTTGTGATAGTTGTGGGATCTTATTCTCCACAGAATAACTGCCATGCTTGTCAGCAGTTCCCGGTAAAATTCTTTGAGACTTTTCAAAATTATTGTTACTATATTAATTGGAAAGATTATGATTTTAAGGGACTGATGGGAATTTACTTTGGGCTTTTTTTTAAATGGACTAGTACTTATGCACAAGATCGCAGCTAAAGAGACACTTAGTGATGTCATACTACTGATAAAAAACTGGTTCTCCTATTTTCTCTTTCTAAGCACTAATTGACACTTTCATATTTCATGCAGAGAGACTCTTTTATGACAGGTGGAGAAAGTAATTTGGCAAAGTCTCCAATAGATGGTTTTGTTTTGCTTTGTCTGAAAGCATTGTTTGCACAACTAGGCATCTTGCCAGCATCTCCCGTCACGTTATAAGATGTCACATTACATTCCTGCAATACTAACTGCATAATAGTTTGTATACTGCTGTGAAGATCATAACTGCAGTTCATTAGGGTATGCAATTCCAGATATTCTGAAAATACAGTCATCACTACGTGCTCATTCTAGTGCCAGGTCTTTGATGGTTCACACAGCAGCTATTATAGACACCCAGTTAAATCCAGCATCCAGAAAGATGCCTGGAAAGCCAAACATTTTATGAGGCAGTTAATGGCAATTTGAGATTTCAATCTTGTTAACATGAATTTGCAATATCCATTCCATTTGTAGATTTTTTTGTGTACTTATATTTTTACGTGTTAAAATGCCTGTTCTTATTTCTGCTGAAAATCTATATTTTGTGATGAATTGGCATAATTTCATTTATTTGAATAATGCGTTCCGAAGTTTTCTGCCATCACATATTTTATAGATATGTCATTAGTTTGAACAAAATATTTTATTGCTAGGTTATATTTGTATTAAATTAATAAAATAACAACTCTTCATTCAGTATTTAGAAAGTTGCATCTGTGAGTAATTTCATTGTATAATTGGAGTAGGATAGGTTGACTTTTAACTAGCTAAATGCAGATGAAAAAAGAATAAAACACCCTAACCCTAAGAGATACTTTAAAAAAGGGCAAAATGAATAAGTATGAATATTTGCATTTGTGACATATTGAGGATATCTCAAGTTCTCTCTCTTAAAACCAATTACATTAAATTATAACACAATTATTAAAGTTCTCTTTTTTAAATACATGTTTTTGTTCAAATGGCAGCAAAGGGTTCTTAATCATAATTCTTTTGTATCCATTGATTTTCTTTTTTTTAAAGTATCGATGGGTTGAGCCATCTCAATAAAACTCAATTAATGCTTACTGCTGATAGATAGAAATGAAAGAGAATGAAACTTCTATTAATACAAATGTTTATTATTTACACAGGCAAAGAAACGGCAGCCACAGAACCATCTATTATCTCATTACCAACTGTCCCACTTCCTTCACTGGTTAAAGATTCTAGCTCATCTAAGCATGGCGAGCACCACCATCACCACCATCATGAACACAAGAAAAAGAAGAAGAAACATAAACATAAGCACAAGCATAAACATAAACATGAAGGAAAAGACAAAGAAAAGGACCTATTTGCATTTGTTAGCAGCCCAGCGAGTGGACGGTCTCCAAACTCTCCTTCAATTTCGGACTAAAATGAATGGTGAACTGCCTCAGGAGGCCGATATAGCAACAGTTTTCAAATGAGGTGCACTGGAAATACTACTCAGCAAAATGATCCCTCCTTCCTGAAATCATTATCGTTTACAGTGCAAGAAACCAGAACTGTATTCATTACTAGGGTATAATCTATGTATACAAACTGACTGAAACTTGGTTCACTCATTCCATGTGTTCAGCTGACCTAAATTGGCAGCTTGTTGTTTTTCTGACAAAACAAACACTCCTGTTTTTCGAGATTGGTTTATACTTTGGTTATATATTCCTGCATTATTCTTCTGCAGAAACGTCTTTCCAATAGATCCAAGCTGATCTAAGAGCAATTAGACTGTTAGGATAAGTGAACATTTATGGTCATCAATAAATTAAACATCTTGCAATGCAATTTCATTTACATTGCTGTTAAAACTGAAACACAACTGCAGTTTTTGTGCAGTTTTAATGATGGGAGTGTTTGGATCTGTCTGTTGCAGTTCCAAACGTGTTGTTTCGAACGAAAAATGGTTCGCTTTAAAACCTTGTAACATACAGTGAACAATAACTCAGTATTTACCAAGCAGTATGTACACAGTAATTCTTTGTCACAGTCCACTGGGATTACAAAATAAAATTGTGACTCAGTTGAAGGATGTTTTAATTTAAAAAAAACCAACAGGTTTCTGTGAGCTTGTGCTGATTTGGCTGGCAGTAGTATTTGCCTTCAAATTTAACGTATGATACCCTGTCATCTAATTATGGCATTGATTATTTTACTTCCACCAAAGCTCATGGCACAAGGCATTTTTAACAAAAATGTGATTGTATTGCATTTCATCTGATTTTATTAGAACATTTTTGGATCTCTGTAAATAGATAACAACATTTTCCATTTTTAGTTTTTTGACTATTGTAGCCGATGATGGAATAATTGCTTGCATTTTTATACTGGTTTTGTGCAACAGAGTGCTTACTGATTTTGTTTGTAGATTTACTGTGTGCATACAACATACTATGAATCACTGAATTTGCTGCAACAGTCCATCTCAGCACCAAAAACATTTTCCACATAGGTCCAAGCAAGGTAGACAATTTTTTTAAACATTTTTTTATATAAAACTATGTACTGAACTTTGTAATCATTTGATTCTATGGTGAAATCCTGACAATGTTAATAAATGATTGCTTTAGCAAATATAACTTTTAAAAATATTAATACTTTTATTTCAAATCCTGCATAATTATCACAAAAAAATTAATTTGAGAAGTTCAACAATTCTTTAGCTGTAGATTGAGTTCTGGTTTGTACCTCTAAATATACAGCACCTATAGAAATAGCCAGTTAATTGTTTATATTTAAATTATTTAAACAATTGTGGTCTTAAAAAAAGGTATTAACAATCTGATACGCGACAACGATACCATATGTTTTTAAGTGAGAATATCAGCTGCAATAGTTAATGAAGAAAAAACAGTGGATTTAATGTATGAATACAAAATGACTAAGACTCCTTTTGGGATTAATCATATAATACACAAATTCAGCAGGGATTAAAATTTAGATGGAGTTTGTCCTTTACAGATTGTGAACAAGTCCTCAAGAGCTGGTATTCATTCCCTTCGAGTCTGAGGTTGTGGAAGTACGATAATTAACTGTTGGATCTTCAGGTCTCCACACTTTACACAATAATTAATTAATGTGGGAATTTACTGTGAGCAGCAGCCTCTATTCAAATAAACAGAGGGCCGCATTTATCTGAAAATGACTTATGCAAGGTTACGAGTTCAATGAAACAGCTGGACCTCCCAGCATGTTCTCGATGTATAATTTCATCCTAAGGAAAATTAGCTGAATTGATATAGTCTAACACAGTACAAGGCTGTAACTATGTAATCAACAACTGAATTATCCTAACAGAGGTGCTTCCTGAACTGGGTAAATGTCTTCCACTTTGATAACACTGAGAATCTCTCAGGATTATTCTATTTTGTTCCAATTAGTTACCAGTCAATTGGCCAATAAAGCGTTAAACATGATCAATATCATAGAATTATACAACACAGAAGGAGGCCATTTGGCCCACGTTGTCTGTGCCAGCTCTTTTAAAAGAGCTACCCAAATCAATCCCACTCCCCTGCTCTCCCCATAGCCCTGCAAACTTGTCCTCTTCAAATAATTATCTCCTACTCTTAAAAGTTGTTATGGGATCAGCTTCCACCACCCTTTCAGGCAATGCATTCCAGATCCAAACAACTCACTGTGTGAAAAAATTGGAATATGACTTTCCTACCATGTCTGAAATTGGGGTAGTATGTACTAATTTGACGAAAAGCTTTCCAAATCTAATAGCAATCCAATAGTTATAGCAGAGCTATAACCCAACACTCATCCAATCTCTTTTCCAGAATATATCATTGATTTTCATTCTCATTTGCTAGCCTGAAAAGGATATATTGGGTTGTGTATTTAGGAGCATTTTAAGTTCTTTTGTTAAACCGGGATGTGGACTTTGACTTTATTTGATGCTGCAAACCTTTGTGAAGTCCACAAATGGCAAGTTGCTGAATTTAGAATCGCTTTGAAGTTTAAGCTTCAGGGATAGTTCTGGAGAGAACTTAGGACACGGACAGTACTTTATCTTACACTCTGCCAGATTCAACATAAAACACCCTGTATCTGAGAAAATTACTATAAAGCCATAGAAGGGTAAACGTGGGACTGTTAGCTGTTTGAAGTGATAATTGCCTTGTGTGATAACTTTTACCATTGCTGATTGCCACAAGGACAGAATTTGTGATGGTTTTGTTTTGTTTGTCAGCCTGGCTCAGTGGTAGCACTCTCACCTCTGAGTCACAAGGTTATGGGTTCAAGCTCCATGTCAGGATGTGGAATCACACAGCCTAAGCTGACACTCCAGTGAAGTGCTGGGAGTGTGTTGCATTGTCAAAGGTGCTGTCCTTCGGATGAGATGTTAAACAGCGCTCTGGACGCCGCCTGTCGTGGAGGGCGCTATATAAATACAAGTTGTTGTTAAACAGTGGTCCCATCAGCCTGTTCAGTGGATGTTGAAGATCCCATGACTCCATGCAAAAAGAGAAGGGAGATTCTCCCCATGTTCTAGCTAACAATCTCCCAAATAAAATTGGTCACTCACTCCATGGCTGATTGTGGGACACTGGTGTGTGCAAACTGGCATCTGTGTTTTGCCCACAAAAATACAGTCAATCCACTTTGCGTTATATCCTGTGAAATGCTTTGAGATGTCTTGATGTGATAAGGCGCTATATCAAATGCAATGCTTATTATTTGACACTAAATGAGCCCTTGGTGACAGATTACCTTTCTGACAAATAGTTTCTCCATTGGCTTTTTCATCCGGCCTGAGGTTTGCACAGAAGTCATTTACAAGTTTTCTTTGCTTCAGATAATTTGAGAAGTGTCTTGTACAGATAAGATAGATATAAATAATGAGGGTTTTATAGCATTACTTTTGGCACAGCTGATTTACCAGCTGCAAAAATGAGAGAACAAGTTGTTTTTTCCTTTTCAATTCAGAAAAAAATCTATGTTGCATCAAGACAATAGTTCTAGAAGTTTGCCTTGCCGATTTTGGAAACAAGGTTCATTCCAATATGAAGATACTTTAGTCTTGAACGAGTTACTTGTCAGAATGGTGTCTATCTGATCATTAGTAACAGTAAGATAATATACATGTTTCATAAGCACGTGTCCTGCATGAGACTCGAAGCTTGCAATCTCTCTTAGCCTTAAGACCACATTTTAAAATATAAGATAATGCAGAATTTTGAAAAATTCATAAATTCAGTCTAATTTGAAAACTAGTTCTATGTAATTTTGTTTTGAAAACACTGCCAAAACTGGCTTCCAAAGTGCAATTGACTGCTGCATTTCGCCCACAAATATAGTCAATTCACTTTTCAGTATATTCTGTGAAGTGCTTTGAGACATCTAGAAGATGTGAAAAGCGCTATATCAAATGCAACTATTATTATTAAGACTTAATTTAAGAATTTTCCAAGATTCTGCACCTCTTAAATTTTAGGCTTGATTATTCCAATTCCTTGCTTGCTGTATTTCCCAGCTCCTCCCTACAAAAGTTGCAGACCATCCAGAGCACTGCAGCCACGTCTCCTCCAACACTAGGCTTCCATGGGCCCATCAACACCATCCTTGTTAAGCTTCACTGGCTCTCAATTCTCCGGCAGATTGAAATCAAGATCTTCATTCTCACTTTCAACCCAACACAACCTGGTTTAGATCCTCCGCTAATCTGCCCCATTATCGGTGGAGTTTTCAGCCTCTCGCTCTCTGGAACTCCATCCGAAGTTCCCTCTGTCTCATACTTCCCTTCAAAATCCACCCCTCAGTTGGGCTCAGCTGTTGTCCCAATCAGCTGTTTGAAGTGCACTGCTGATGTGACAGACAATGTATATGACCCCATCTCCCCCACTCTCGCCCGACTCCACTGGCTCCCTATCCTTCAGAGGAATTAGTTCAAGATCCTGGTCCTCACGTACAAAGCCCTCCATGGCCTCACCCCACCCTAACGCTGCGACCTCCTAACCCCCTACCAAGCCGTCTGTTCCCTCCGCTCAGCCGGATCTGGCCTGCTCCACATCCCCCGACCCACCCACCCCACCATTGGCGGGAGAGCCTTCAGCTACTCTGCCCCCAACCTCTGGAATTCCATCCGGCAGTCACTCTGCCTCACCCCCTCCTTAGCCTCCTTCAAGTCCAGCCTCAAGACCCTCCTCTTCGACCATGCCATCGGCCACCCCCCTTCCCCTCCCCTCCCCCACCAACCCCAGCTCGGGTCTGAAATGCTGTACTTTGTCCACCGCTTTGGGACATCCTCCCGACGTGAAAGGTGCTATACAAATGTAGTCTTGTTGTTTATGAGTAGTGGAGCTGGTGGAATAAGAACAGCAACTTGCATTTATAGAGCAGCCTTCAAGTAGGCTGGTGTGTTGGAGCACTGAAATAGCACAAGTTATTACATTAGTCAACCTGTACGTGCCTTCTCTAAATAAAATAATATCTTTCAAAACTTACAGTACTCAGTAATTTCCTGGTAGGTAGATTTTGCAACTTTGCCACTATTTTGAATTGATCATGGTTCAGATTTCTAGAAGCAATAATTTAACAGCAGATTGCTCAGCACAGTGAAACACCACAATTCTTGAAGGGCACACTACTATTTTAAGGCAAGTGAAGAAATTATACAATACAATATACAAGGCCTAAAATTTCAGATTGTGCAAAATACAGTATATTTACAAAGCCAGTAAGTTAAATGTTATCTTGAAATGGCTACCCATGATAGTTGTGTACTATGGAGCCATGCATTGTAATCTGATTGAGACTCCTCAAACTCAAAATTGAAAAGAATTTAGGAGGAACTACTTCATGCAGGGAGTAGTGAAATCGTGGAACTCACTGCCTGAAGCAGTGGTTGAAGCAGATAATATAGATGCATTTAAGAGGAAACTAGACCTTCACAGGAGGGAAACAAGAATAGAAAGGTATGGGAGGAAGTAAGGAATGGATGGAGACCCATGTGGAGTATAAACACCAGCACAGACTGGTTAGGCCAAGTGGCCCTTGTAAAGAGCAATGAAAAAAAAGACTTTCATCACACGAGTTTTGAGCTGGTTTGGATTCCAGATCTGAGAGGTAAAGGGGTATTGGCCAATTTATTGCAATATTTTTAACAACAAAGCTTTCTGACTTTCCAACTCAGTTAGTTCAGTTAGTACAGTCAAACCTTAACAGCAACCACTACTACTCAGCGACCATCTGCTATCAACACCATCCTGGAACAATCCTGACCGATTTTCCATAATAAACCACCTTTATTCAGCAACTACCTGACTAATGCAACAAGTGGGCACTTCTTTTTAGCCCCATTGGTGCACAGACACCCTTTTCAGTGGTCAGTTCTAAGTGAATTTAAGTATACTTACCAGTAAAGCATCACCAATTTCTGCATACTCACGTGTAGACTCCCGCTAGACTCCTAGCGCATTTACCAACACTGCGTTGAGTAGCACACATGATGCCCACAGATTCCTGCCTCTCCAGTGTGGCGGCATTGCTAAATGCACTAAGAATCTAGCGAGAGTCTACACACAGGCCCGTGGAAATGTTGGTCCTGTGTAAATTTTATTTTTAATTTTCAGACTCAGTCA